ACCTCAATAATGAACAATAGATTAAACAAATATCTCACAATGGAAAATGTATTGACTGCTAATCAAATAGGCTTTCAAAAAAACAAAAGATGTACGGATCACATATATGTTCTTAATTTTATTATTAGAAAATTTAAGTCTCAGAAAAAGAAACTGTACACATGTTTTGTGGATCTAAAGAAGTGTTTTGATTCACTCTGGCGAAATGGTATATTCTTTAAAATGTATGAAAGTGGTATTAGCTCTCAATTTATCAGAATAGTGCAAAACATGTATGCATGTACACAGTCACGAGTTAAGTGTGCTGACGCTAATGGTAACAAGATATTTACAGAATATTTTGAAACCACGGTTGGTACAAGGCAAGGTGACTGTCTCAGTCCCACAATGCTGAATATATTTATAAATGATTTAGAATTATACTTATGTAAGAAAAAATGTAAAGCTATACGATTAGATGATGTATCCACAAACTTTCTGGCCTTTGCCGATGATATTGTACTTATGAGTTCATCAGAGTCGGGCCTACAGAACTGCTTAAATGCATTTAGAAAGTATTGTTCTGACTGGAAATTACAGGTTAATCTTAGTAAAACAAAAGTTATGGTCTTTAATACCACTAGTACGAACCATGTATTTTATTTGGGTAATAATAAGATTATTGAAACTAAAAGTTATGTATACCTTGGCATCACCTTTAAGAAAAATGGTTCTTTTGTATCAGCCATGAATTTACTAAATAGTAAGGCAATGAAAGCTCATTTTGCCATTAAACAAAGTTTTTATAGAATGCCAGTAAGGATACAAATGAAGCTTTATGATTCCCTCATAAAACCAATATCATTATATGGCTCAGAGATATGGGGCGCATATGGATTTAATTGGAAATCTAAATTCATAGAAGAAATGTTATTAAATGACAAACTCCCATTTGAACAACTGCATACAAAATTTTGCAAATTCATACTACAAGTTAATTCAAAATGTACAAACATACTAGCTAAATCCGAATTGGGAAGGTATCCCTTATTTATTAATATCTGTATTGGGATCATAAAATATTGGGTACACGCTAGGAAAGCTCCCAAAACTTCACTGATTTCTAAAGTAACAACTCTAGATATTGCCAACAATACCTCGAATTATTATACTGTTGTAAAGGCTATCTGTGAATTCTGTGGAATATCAACTTTTATAGAAGATAAAGATATTTTTGATCAAACAGATGCAAGCATATTAATCAAAACCTTGAAAAACAAATTATTTAATAAATATCAAGAACAGTTCTTTCAAAAAATCAATGTAGCTGAAAATATACCATCTAAAACCAGAGTGTATAGAACAGTAAAGAAAATGTATAAACAAGAGAAATACCTTAATATTAATAATGATTCCCACAGAAAGGCTATAACAAGGACTAGGATCTCATGTCATAACTTTCCTATAGAAATGGGAAGGAGATTCAAAATTGCAAAAGAAAAGCGATATTGCTATTTATGTGACTCCAAAGAAATTGGTGATGAGTACCATGTTCTTTTCGAATGCAACTATGAAAAACTTATAAATATACGTAAAGACTTTATTTTTGGTATAAGACAGATTAAAGAACAATTTATACAATTTAATAACAAACAGCTATTTAGTTATCTACTTATGAGCCACGATAATGAACTAATGAATCCATGGGGTGAATTCCTAAACAAAATGAACCTTACTGTTGACACTCATAAAATACTGAGAAATAAAAATGATTTACTGAAATGGTTCCAAAAGAAAGGTGATGCCAAGTAAGCAAGCAATATGATTATCTCATTTATATACTGCTCATAAATATTATTATACCCTTTGTGTCTTTGTATGCATTTTTTTTTTTGTAAACAACCATATTTATCGTATGATCTGTAAAATGAAGCCTTCTGATTGGTCAGTTCTTGTGCTGTACCAATCTGTATTGCTACTGAGATTGTCCGCATTGATAATCTCCGTCGCAATACAGAAAATATTGGTACGGAGGGGACATTCTCAGTAGCAATACAGAGGATCACACGATAAAAACGTTATAGAATGATTTGAAGTGCAATACAGGATATATTCTGTCTCGATATTCTGTATTGGCACTCGACTTCGTCTCGTTTCAATACGGAATTTCTCGAGCAGAATATATCCTGTATTGCACTTCAAATCATTCAATAACTTATAATATTATACCTTTATTTTATGTATGCATGTTTCTTTATTGTAAATTACCAATACTCCAGAAGGAGATACGGAACAATAAAGTACTATCTTATCTTATCTTATCTTATAACTGCATTTTGTCAATGTTCTACTCCGAAAGCCTCTTTGTCATATGATCTATTTAATAAATTCCATATAATAATTAGTTTTGATGTTTTTCTCCTTTTCTCTATTTGACAAAGAAGACCATGCCAAATAAGGTGCATTTTGGTGAAATGAAAGTTTATTTCTGTCTTAGGTATTTGTTATTTGTAGTTTCCTATATGAAAACATATTACATATTTATCTAAATATCTTCTACAAGAAATATTAAAATGATCTTTTAAATAGTCACTTATTACATATTGATCCTTCGAGTAACTCATACATGATAACCTTATACTGATAATACATGTGACAGCATTATTGGAAATAAACATCTATTTTATTTTTTTTAGATTATCAATAAAACTTTGGTATTCTTGTTACATTTGTTTTCCTTTGTTTTAATGTGGGGGTCGTAGTTTTATAACAGGGTCTTCGTTTTATAATGTGGGAGGTCTAAGTTTTATAACAGGGTCTTAGTTTTATAACGTGAGAGGTCTTACTTTTACAACAGGGTCTTAGTTTTATAACGTAGGAGGTCTTAGTTTTATAACAGGGTCTTAGACCTGTATGTTACTGGGGAACTCGAGGGATAGAGCCGAGACTACCTTAAAATTATGTATATGTGTATGTTACTAGGGAAAACAAGGGTTAGAGGCAAGACTACCTTATGTATATGTGTATGTTACTAGGGAAAACAAGGGTCAGTGGCAAGACTACCATATGTGTATGTTACTAGGGTAAACAAGGGCCAGAGGCAAGACTACCATGTGTAGATTCTGTATGTGAGAAGGGAACACAAGGACCAGAAGCAAGACTACCTTTTGTAGAATCTTTATGTTAGTGGGGAGAATCTGTATATTAGAAGGGAACACAAGGACCAGAAGCAAGACTATCTTTTGTAGAATCTGTATGTTACTGGGGAACACAAGGCCCAGAGGCAAGACTACCTTGTGGCGAGCAGAGCAAGGCATGGTGACTGATTCTTATAACAGGGTCTTAGTTGGGGGGTCTTAGTTTTATAACAGGGTCTTAGTTTTATAACGTGGGGGGTCTTAGTTTTATAACAGGGTCTTAGTTTTATAACGTGGGGGGTCTTAGTTTTAATGTATAACAGGGTCTTAGTTTTATTACGTGGGGGGTCTTAGTTTTATAACAGGGTCTTATTTTTATTACGTGGGGGGTCTTAGTTTTATAACAGGGTCTTAGTTTTATTACGTGGGGGGTCTTAGTTTTATAACAGGGTCTTAGTTTTATTACGTGGGGGGTCTTAGTTTTATAACAACGTCTTAGTTTTATTACGTGGGGGGTCTTAGTTTTATAACAGGGTCTTAGTTTTATTACGTGGGGGGTCTTAGTTTTATAACAGGGTCTTAGTTTTATTACGTGGGGGGTCTTAGTTTTATAACAGGGTCTTAGTTTTATTACGTGGGGGGTCTTAGTTTTATAACAGGGTCTTAGTTTTATTACGTGGGGGGGTCTTAGTTTTATAACAGGGTCTTAGTTTTATTACATGGGGGGTCTTAGTTTTGTAGGTCTTAGGTCTTAGTTTTGTAGACACCCAATGATCAAGGCAAGACCGATAACTCACCTGGTAATTGATGGAATGATGGAGGCAAGACTAATGGAACTCATCTACTCATTAGATGCAATGATCAATAAAGGATTGGAACTCACCTGCTAATTGATGCAATGATCAAGGCAAGACTTGAAACTCACCTACTTATTGATGCAATGATAGGATTGGAACTCACCTGCTAATTGATGCAATAATCAAGGCAAGACTTGAAACTCACCTACTTATTGATGCAATAATCAATGACAGGATTGGAACTCACCTGCTAATTGATGCAATGATCAAGGCAAGACTTGAAACTCACCTACTTATTGATGCAATAATCAATGACAGGATTGGAACTCATCTGCTAATTGATGCAATAATCAAGGCAAGACTTGAAACTCACCTACTTATTGATGCAATGATCAATGATAGGATTGGAACTCATCTGCTAATTGATGCAATAATCAAGGCAAGACTTGAAACTCACCTACTTATTGATGCAATGATCAATGATAGGCTTGGAACTCACCTGCTAATTGATGCAATGATCAAGGCAAGACTTGAAACTCACCTACTTATTGATGCAATAATCAATGACAGGATTGGAACTCATCTGCTAATTGATGCAATAATCAAGGCAAGACTTGAAACTCACCTACTTATTGATGCAATAATCAATGACAGGATTGGAACTCATCTGCTAATTGATGCAATAATCAAGGCAAGACTTGAAACTCACCTACTTATTGATGCAATGATCAATGATAGGATTGGAAGTCGCCTGCTAATTGATGCAATAATCAAGGCAAGACTTGAAACTCACCTACTTATTGATGCAATGATCAATGATAGGATTGGAACTCACCTGCTAATTGATGCAATAATCAAGACAAGACTTGAAACTCACCTACTTATTGATGCAATGATCAATGATAGGATTGGAACTCACCTGCTAATTGATGCAATGATCAATGCAAGACTTGGAACTCACCTACTTATTGATGCAATGATCAAGGCAAGATTTGGAACTCACCTGCTAATTGATGCAATAATTAAGGCAAGACTTGGAACTCACCTACTTATTGATGCAATGATCAAGGCAAGACTTGGAACTCACCTGCTAATTGATGCAATGATTGAGCTACACTTGGGTGGTCAGGATCTAGAGCTGTTTCCCTCACTTCTAGGGCTCGCTGTAGTGGAGTTGAAGCCTTAAACAGCATCAAATTCTTCAGAAACATATCTTTTATTCCTGACAGATTTCATAATCATAAAACAAACTTCTGGTTCAATAGACAATGTCCTATTGATCTTATTATGTACAAGTAAATGATGAAAAGAATCGTAGTCTCATATTGTAGTAACAATTTATCTTGCCAAGAACCAATTGAAATACTTTTAATTTATCTTGGTTTGAAGATAATGAAGTGGAATTTGAATTTATACATGCATACCTGAGCTAGCAGGCCTAAGTCTCGGAGAAATCTTCCTAAAGCCTCATACATATCAGCTATTCTTGGGAGGGTAACCATTCCATTGAATCCTCCTACAACTGATAACACAAAGACTATGAGTTTTAACAAAGGGCTTCAAACGGCCACAAGATTCTCTCTTCTTCCCAAAAACAGTTTTGAAAAATTTTCAATCATGAGTACAATGTATTACATTAGTTACAAAGTAAGATGCAAATTTTAAAGAAGCTCTGTTAAGGCATATGTTCAAGAAAACAATTCTGAAAAATTGCTATACCCTGCCTATGTTATTATCTGGTAAAAAATAAAGTATTAAGGCATGTGTGCATAGCCGAAAGAACCGGGGATTTTGTGGGTTCGAACTAACCCCTGGTCAGGATTTTTAAAAAAATTTACAGCATTAAACAAGAAACATTAATTTATTGTGCAATTTGAAAGCGTTATACAACCAGCAGATTAATTCATATTTTTTGTTATGGTGAACATTAAGACCCCTGCTTTGTTAATAAAATAGTAAAGTTACACTTTGCTCTAAAAGTTTGGCAATCTTATGGATCCATATGAATAATAAATATTGCACTATTAAATCCTCTAATTCATTTGACATTTATAGGTATTAAAACTAACATTCTTCCATCTTCTTGGTGGCAGCAAAATAGGACTGTGCCATCTTGTTCTTATCTGCTCCCACATACTGCCAGTATCCAATCAACTCTCGACATCTGCCCCTGGGTAAAAGATAAAGCAGATTACCAAAAAGTGACTCTCCTGAGATGCTTGCTACAAAAACATTTCCTATACCATCATTATATACATACAATGTAAACGGTGTGGTGTAATGGGTCAGGTTGCTGGGGTGGATCTAGATCATGTAGGTCTGGATGTATATTTCCGTTTTGCATAGTTTTATTGATTCAAGTATTGTTTGTGTTTACCCTTATAAAAAATTCAACCTTGAAAGTCCGAATTTAAACCGTTTCCACCAATCATTGAATAATGATTGTTTCAACTACCAAGATCAAAGGGAAAACCATTGTACGATGATAAGCAATCATTGTGCAACCATTGTGTTCAACCAAGCGAAGTCAACTCTTTTTCAACGAATGCGCAACCGTTTCTATACAATGATTGTAATCTGAAACCATTGTAAACTGCAACCATTTCACATTGAAATGTAAATGGTTGCAATTTGTTTTGTTCAATGATTACATAGTTCAACCCCTGCAACCATCCTGAATTAGTATCGTTCCAAAAAAGTAAGGATTTGAATCTACCTCTATTAAAGAATAGTATATTAGGATATTTTTTCTGCAAGCATACATGCATGTTTATTATAGTAAATAACTTAATTCATGTTAATATGTTTCTTTCTCCAGTACGAATTTAGGAATGCAATACCAGACTAATTTTCCACTCAATGGCATATGATAATTTATGTTCTCTGTCATTTACATTATTTACACAAATTAAAAGTACCATATTTAGTGTTTATTTCCCTTTATCAGATATTGCCAAAATGATGTTAATTCTGAAAAGAATTGAGCAAAATTCCAAGGAACATCTTAAGATTTCCTTTAAACTTAACAAAATCACAAGATGAGACACAATGGTTTTTGTTCATGATCAGACTGATGATCAAACAATACCTACTACATGTACATATTGATATTCTCATGGGTTTAGGCAAATCAGACTGCTTGAAAAGCCAATTAAAATGGTTGAACAGCTAATTAAAACGGTTGAACAGCTTATTAAAACGGATGAACAGCTAATTAAAATGCTTGACCAGAAATAGGGTTCATATTCCTAGTTTCTGTTATATTTATTTTCATATTGTGTTATACTATATTTTTTTTTTATTCTCTATTTCATGCAGAGGGGGGAGGAAAATATGGGAAATTTTCTTTGGCAAATTATTTATCATGTTCTGTGTATGGAATAATTAAATTACATAGGATGCTTCCTTTATAGCAGAATCTAATCAAATCTCTCTGTTATAAGGTTTGTTTTGCCTTGCCGAATTATTTTTGTTTTGTTTATGGATTAATGGATTAATAAAGTTTCTTTAGACACATCCTTCAAAGCAGACTCTAATCAAACTAAAGAGACTGAGTCTTTCTGTAATCAGAATTTTTTAAGTTATGCTTATTGACTTAATTATTTAAAACACATCCTGTAATGTCTGATTGCATTTTCTCTATCAAATCAAAAATATCAAATCAATAAACAGATTATTTTCTGATTGAAGGATTTCTTCCTTCCAGACAGATCTTCCCTCCTTTATAATTGTGATAATTACTCAGGTGAAGGTGAAGTATAAGTGTCTGAATTTGTAAAATTCAAGACTTGACCCAATCAATTTTATTTCAAATGTTTTTGCAATAAAATTGGTTCAATATCTTTTCATTCACAAGACAAGTTTATTAAACTATTTCAATACTTTAAATATCTTTTTGATCAAAACAAATTTTAATTCTGACATGTATGCATGAAATATATACATTTGAAATATATATTTTAAAGAGCAATATGATTATTTTATGTTGTATTGAGATAATATTGCCATAGGTTTAAAGGGTTGCGTTCGTTTGAAACGGTTGCAAGAAATTCAATCAAAATTGTCAAGCGTTTACAATGTTTACATATGATTGAAACATTTTCAATGAGTTTACAACCAAAATTGTAATGGTTGCATTGTAACGGTTGGCATGGTTGCATAAATGATCGGATCAATGATTGTACAAGGATTGTGCAACGGTTTAAATTCGGACTTTCAAGGTTGAATTTTTTATAAGGGTATGTATTTTGCGTTTATGTTTTTGAATAAATATTTTTTAAAAAATGACATGACATCATGACACCCATGACATCATGATTCAGGTAAATATATCCTAGCTTCTTTGGTGTTAGAAAAATGGTAGGGTTTATTAGAAAAGTCTACTGACTGCCCATCAACAAGCAAAACTTATTACACTACATAATCACTTGCCTTGGACTGAATGCCAGGAAACATGCAAAATGAATTGAACTCAAGGAGGTACTTAATCTTAATCTAACACACCTTTCATTGAATTACTGTATCCAAATAATATTTGACGCAATTATATTTCGCGGGTTTATCACCAGCAGATCTAGACAGGGACATGGGAACATAAGCCTCCCCCCTAAACAGTCAGCATTTTAACTGGAAATCCATAGCCTAATTCTCAAAATAGCTGTTCCCTCTTCAAAAGAGGAGACGCGAAAATATTTCCTTATAAGGTCAAAATATTTCCCATAATGCAGTTCAGGGAGGAACAAATTTATATTTCCTTGTTTTCCCTCAAAGATATAACATGGGGATTTTCACACCTATTTTTCAAATGATATATTCGTTCATATTCCTGTACGAGAGTACAGAAAAAATTATTAGAAACGATTGATCTCTTATTAATCTTAATATAACAGCTATTTTTTTCATTGTATTGATTCATAGCGTGGTGAAAACGATGATTGAAAAGTGAGAAAATATTCCAGATTCACCATATTGAAAAAAAACAACAATTCCATTCGAATTTCAATGCTTTTATGCCAATCTTACCGCACTACAAACTGCAACATCGATGCAACAACTGAATAAAAGTATTCATCTTCAAATTACATTATAGAGTTACGTTGAAAACCCACAAACAACTGAGCAGTAGACTAAAGAAGACGCTTCACTATTATCTAGGCCAATCTGTGCAGTGGTCCGAAAGCAAATCTATTGAACTCATTTCCAAATTTTGTTGTTCATTGTACAATCTTTTATTGATTAAACTCGGTATACTGACTATTAAAGCAATGACAAAGAAGAATACTTCCAATGGTGTCATTGTTTTAAGCGTGCGGGTGTTAAAACAAAATTGCGTAATTAGTTTGATTTAGAACTTAAGGTCACGCAAATAGCTACGGGAAATGCATAGTGGCAAAATATTGACCAATCAAATTTTGTCCTTTTTGAGTGCTTTTTCAGAACACATTTGCAAACGTTCTGATTCAAAGAGCGAACCACGAAAGGGAGAATTAGTTCTTTGCACTATAATTGCAATATGTTCTTTGCCAGCACCTGAAAAAATATAATTATGAATGATCATGATGATGGGTATTGCTCTAATTCAATCACTCCGTTGTGTTTAACTTCTGATTAAATGAAGTTATATTTCATTTTATTGAATATCCTGTTCAGGGTTTGTTAATGTGTGTAGGTGTGTGTTTTTAAGTTGTGTTACAACAATATTATTTGTTTCTGTACCTTCCATACAATCTTTGGAAAATACACAAATTGTTGATAATGGCCTGCAACTGCTCCTTATCCCCTATGCTGTGTAGGAGCCAAGGTAACTCATCAGCCACTCGGCATGTAACACTCCCAGGGCTATAAAAAAAATGATATGTTTACATATACTTACGAGGTCTGCCAGCTGACACAATGTGCAAGTGTCAAGGCTCATAGAAGCAGATTCAGAACTGTAATTGGGAAATCTTTGACCACAGGGTGGTCAAAAAAGGAAACCCTTACGCCGATTTACTCATATCTCCTAAGAAATAACTCTCTGATATTTTACAAATTTGTACATAATTCAATTCCTACCAGCCTATTACATTTCATGACCCTCGGATTGATTGTCACAGTGTTACGGCACTTTTAAGAACATGCCATGAGTGTTAACAAGGATGTTGATGTTTCAAAAATCATGTTTTGGATACATTTTCAATTGTTGTAATCTTTGATATTGATGAAGCAGTTATTATAGTACTAGCTTAATCCAAATCATAAACAATAGGCAGGAAATACATTCTTTGATGTTTCATAATATGTGTATATCATTAAAGAAACTTTTTGTTGAGAAAGGAGAAAGATTCAACAAATTGATTTTTTGCATTGTTTTGTAAAACTGAATGAATCAAGAAGGAATTGTCAAATAAACTCAGAATGACCAGTGCCAAAAATGAACACTTTATTCTTTCAATCATAATATGTCTATATGCATGAACTTGAAGTCATTTCTTGTGTCAAAAATGAATAAGCCTTATTTTCTTTATGGAAATAATATGCCTATGAGCATGAACCTGAAGTCATTTCTTGTGTCAAAAATGAATAAGCCTTATTTTCTTTTTAAATCAAATAGAAATAATATGCCAATGAGCATGAGCTACAGTATTTTGAAACATAATCATGCATTAAATTCATTTGATGCACGTTTTTCATGTTTTAAATCGTCTCATACTTCTGAAACTAAATAATTCCCATAACACATGTACATTTATGAATAGTTGCATCCATTTGGTAAAATGCAATTGAAACAATCAATGGTTTGTAATGGTTGCAAATGCTTGCATAATTTCAATGATATGCATATGATGGGACAAGTGCATACAGTAACACCAAAGTATGGTTGCAAATGCTTGCATAATTTCAATGATATGCATATGATGGGACAAGTGCATACAGTAACACCAAAGTATGTTTGTCAAAAGTCGTATATCTGAGAAATCAGTGACTTCCAAGAAAGGTTGGATGACAACTGGGAATAGACCAGCGACATCTGGATAGTCAGAAGACAGTTGGAAAGACAACAACCGGGGCAAATTGGGTCAGCAGCCCGAAATGCAGCTTCTGTGAAGAAGCAACCCACACATCAAGCTACGTCACAACTTAAAGAAAAACACCCTCAAGATTGCCCGAGAGGGGGGGAGGATGAGCAATCTACACAAACAGAAGGAATACAGAATATCGACTTAGCACGCCCAAGGACAAGGACATTGAACAGAGGCAGAATATGCAGTTGCGGCAAAGAATGCAAAAACGACAGAGGACTTAAAATTCACCAAGGCAAGTCGCGGTGCCAGTCTCAGTCGGAGATGGAACAGCGCTCAGGGACACCTGATAAGACGAAGGAGGGGCCAGGCCAGGACAAAAACCACAGTGCCAGGAACGTCCAAGTTCCAAAGACGAATGAGACTGCCAAAGCTAAAGAAGAGAGACTCCAGAGGATTAAATGGCCTAATGCCACAAAGAAAGAGGAATGGAGTAATCTGGATGAAGACTTAGAATCAATTTTGGAGTCTTCTCTAAGTGGACCAGTTGAAAAGAAGATACAAGCCATGACAACCATCATATACTCAATTGCATCAGACAGATTTGGAGTCGAAGAAAAATGCCATTTAAAATCACAAACTGTTAACATTAGTAGAAGACAGAAGGATATTAAAGAGGTGAGAAAGCAACTAAGAGATCTGAAGAAAAGGTACAAACATGCTGGACCTGTAGAGAGAAACGCACTTAGCGAACTGAGAGATATAGCCAGATGTAAACTCAAAACATTAAGAAGAGCAGAATATCACAGGAGACGTAGAAGAGAACGCTCGAAGAGAAGAGCATCTTTTACAAAGGACCCTTTTGGATTTGTCAAGGAACTACTAGGCCAGAAGAAGAATGGTACCCTTAGAAGCTCTAAAGAAGAAGTAGAAAACCACTTAACCATGACCCATAAGGATATCAGGAGAAACGAGGAATTAGGGGAGTGTGACTTGATACTAGAATACCCACCCCCAACTAAGGAATTTAATCTGAAGGAGCCAACTTTCAAAGAAATTAAAGATATCGTGTATCATGCTAGGGCCTCATCTGCTCCAGGGCCAAGTGGAATACCATATAAGATATACAAGCGATGTCCAAAGTTATTAACACGATTATGGAAGTTGTTGAAAGCAGTTTGGAGGAAAGGCTATACAGCCCCACAATGGAAAACAGCAGAAGGATGTTTTATTCCCAAGGAAGATGAATCGGAAGCTGTAGGTCAATTTAGGACCATTTCTCTTCTCAGTGTGGAGGGAAAAATATTCATGGCCGTTGTGGCCAGACGTATGACTTCGTTTCTGATAGAAAATGAATACCTTGATCTATCAGTACAAAAAGGAGGAATCCCAGGAATGTCGGGATGTATAGAGCACACAGCTATGGTGACACAACTTATCAAGGAGTCAAGAGAAAGTAAAGGTGACTTAACAGTGCTGTGGTTGGACCTAGCAAATGCTTATGGTTCCTTACCCCACAAGTTAGTAGAGTTCACAATGATGAGTTACTACATTCCAAAGAAGATACAGAAGATGATCTTAGATTATTATGACAACTTCAAGATGAGATTTTCTACAAAGCAGTTTACTACAAATTGGATCAAGTTAGAAGTAGGAATAGTGACTGGATGTACACTTTCTGTTATATTGTTTGCAGCAGCAATGAACCTACTGGCAAAATCAGCAGAACAGGAATGCAGAGGGCCAACAACAAGCTCTGGTACTAGACAGCCACCCATCAGAGCATTCATGGATGACTTAACAGTAACAACCAGGGGAGTCATGGGAGCAAGATGGATACTCAAAGGACTAGAAAAGATTATCAAGTGGGGCAGGATGAAATTCAAGCCAGTGAAATCACGCAGCCTAGTACTGAAGAAAGGGAAGGTAGATGGAAAATTCAAGTTCAACATAGATGGACAGGATATACCAACAGTTACAGAAAAACCAGTGAAAAGCTTAGGGAAAGTGTTTGATGCATCACTTTCAGACAGGAAGAGCATAAGGGAAATGGAGGACCAATTAGATACCTGGTTCAAACTGGTAGATAAATCAGGGCTACCGGGAAAATACAAGGCTTGGATATACCAGCATGGAATACTACCTCGAATATTATGGCCACTTCTCGTGTATGCAGTGCCAATGACAACAGTGGAGATGTTAGAGAGGAAAACAAACAAATACCTACGGAAGTGGTTCGGAGTACCAAAAAGCTTCAGCAGCTCAGGATTTTATGGAGAATCAAACATGCTTCACCTACCGATCAAATCAATGACAGAAGAATACAAGGTAACCAAAGTCAGGAAGATTGTGATGATAAGGAATGCCAAAGACACCAAGATTTCAAAGAGCAGCACCCATGAGAAAACAGGAAGGAAGTGGAATGCTGAAGAGGAGCTAACAAGAGCAGAGGACAGGCTCAAGCAAAAAGTTTTAGTAGGGCGGGTAGCCAAAGGAAGACAGGGCTTAGGATTTGGCTCAAAACCACTATGGAATGAAGCAACAGACCGTGAAAAGAGAGATCTGATCCAGCTAGAAGTAAGAGAGAGCCTCGAGGAAGACCGAAGAGTTAAGGCTATTGAGATGAAGAAACAAGGTAAATGGATGAAATGGGAAGGCGTTAGAGAAAGGAAACTAACTTGGAATGATTTATGGAAGGAGCAGCCACAAACTATTAGTTTTCTGCTTAAAGCAACATATGACGTCTTACCTACACCATCCAATCTAGTCACTATGGGGCTAGCAGAGACAGCAGAGTGCCCATTATGCGGGGCAGTATCAAACCTAAAACACATCATGTCAGCCTGTAGGAAAGGATTAGCAGATGGAAGGTTCAGGTGGAGACATGACCAAGTCCTGAAGGAGTTAGCACAGGTCATTGAGACAGAGAGGAGGAAAAAACACAAGAAACTAGGAACCCAGTATATCAACTTCATCAAAGCAGGAGAAGCCATAACAAAGGAAATAAGGAAACCTACTGGAATTCTACACACTGCAAATGACTGGACCCTCATGGTGGACCTAGAGAAACAGCTAAAATTCCCGGAGGAAGTAGTGGAAACCTCACTAAGGCCAGACATAGTGTTGTGGTCAAAATCATCAAAGCATATAGTGCTAATAGAACTAACAGTGCCATGGGAGGAAAACATACAGGAAGCTCAAGAAAGGAAGCGAGAAAAATATGCAGAATTAGTGGAGCAGTGTAGGAACAAGGGATATACAGCCAGATGTGAACCGGTAGAGGTTGGCTGTCGAGGGTTTGCAGGACAATCCCTCTGGAGAACATTAGGACTATTAGGAATAAATGGCAATACAAGGAAGCAAGCAATTGGAAGTATTACAAGAATAGCAGAGAAAGCATCAAAATGGCTCTGGATCAAAAGAGCAGATGACTGGAAAACAATTAAACATTACTAATAGAAGTATTTAGCTTGAGAAGCACACACTTGTCCCACACCACTTTGGTGGGGTCACCTGGTAGAGTTATACAATGTTGAAAGACCCGAAATAACAATGAAACCAGGCACATTGCTGATGATGGGACAAGTGCATACAGTAACACCAAAGTATGTTTGTCAAAAGCAACCAAAGTTTTCAACCAAATTTAAATGATTGGAAACCATTTCAAATGGTTGCAGTAATGGTTCTACAATGATTTTTTATGGTTACCCAATGGTCTTTAACGGACGGTTGAAATTCAGAAGAAATGGTTGTTTTTTTCTAAGGGATGGTAGAGTGTTAAAAAAAGTGAATGATGTGTGAAAAATATCGGTGTAATTTTTTCTTAAAATGACAAAGATATTAGGAAAATGCAGGGTTTCCTTTTTTTGACCACCCTGTATGATGGAGCTTGGAGTTTATTTCTTTTTGAAAAAGGCAGTCCGGAAATACTATTTATCAAATACATGTTACATCACCAAAATAAAAGTGAATATTACAAATCTTACATGAGGAACTGTGAGAAATATGCTATTAAATCTCCTTTAGCCACAGTGAAAACTTCATCTTGGTCAGAGAACATTTCAGCCACTAAATCTTGTACCTTCAAATATAACAAATAAAATGCATCAAATATACCCTACCTGTGTGTAGTATATGGGTGATATTTCTAAGACAGTCTTACTTTGTATACTTGACAACATGTTTGTTTTATGGATCAAGTAAAATGAAAGGAAGTAAATTGTATCATTGCATGTCACACAGAACTTAAATAATAAAAAACATCTTGACTAGAAAAACAGCAACTCCACGGAGTAGCAAATCCCACCGAACAAAACATATTATGCTTATTATAGCTAGTGTAAATGTTGAAATGTTTGTGCACTTTGTGATAGTTGCATGAAATTTGGCACAAAGTTAGTTTATACCATTGTGAACTAGGCATCATCATATAAAATTTGAACCAAATCTGTTCACTGGTATATGAGTTATCAAAGATTACGTTTTTTACGAAAATTGGCTGCCATCTTAAAATTCAGCCGCCATCTTGAAAATTATTTCTTGAACAGAGCTACTGTGTCCCTAGGCATTATCATATAAAATTTCAACCAAATCTGTTCACTGGTATTTGAGTTATCAAAGATTACGTTTTTTAGGAAAAAATGCTGCCATTTTGAAATTAAGCGGCCATCTTGAAATTTTTTGTCGAACATAGCTACTGTGTCCCTAAGCATCATCATATAAAATTTGAACCAAATCCGTTCACTGGTATTTGAGTAATCAAAGATTACATATTTTTACGAAAAATGGCCACCATCTTGAAATTAAGCGGCCATCTTGAAAATCTCTTATTGTTCGAGACTCCTTTGTCCTTAGGCATCAGCATATAAAATTTGAACCAAATCTGTCAACTTGTATTTGAGTTATCAACGATTACATTTTTTACGATAAATTGCGGCCACTTTGAATTGAGTTGAAAATTCCTTCTCGAGCAGAAGTCCTACACTCATAAGGCATAAGCCTATAAAATTTGAACCAAATCCGTCAACTGGTGTTGGAGTTATCGCCCGGACACACGGACGGACGTCATTTGTTGTTGCTGCATTAGTTTCTTCTTTCATTGTCTTCTTTCTTTGTCTTGATTTGATTGTGATGTTAGTTGTCTTTCTTCAGGGTCCACAGACTTGAGACTGCGCATAGGTGGGTTAAACGTTTTGATCCGGCCGGAAAACTCTCCCCTTCCCCTTACTGATGTTCTTGTGTTGATCTGTCTTCTTAGTTTACCTACTTAAGTATAAGTATAGGTTTGCCATATATGGCGCCGGATCGATTCCCATCAGTATTCCAATTTTCTGTCTTAGAATTGATTTCCCTGCTTTAAAGTAGGCTGTATCCACGATGAAATCCACTAGATCATGGCACTCTTCTTTGGTATATGCCTTTTTATTATCCGCCTTTCCACCCCATTTGGCTTCATCTCCGCCTACTGTTATCTTTTGGTTAGTTCCTCCTCTGAAGGCTTTATCTATCACCCATTTCAGTTTTTCCTTTATGTCAGTTAGATTAATCTTTGTGTATAGTGTAGAGAAATCATAAGAGGCTATGTTCCTTGCCACATTCCTTAAATTTACACTTTTAATGTTATCTAACATATTTTGGTTATTGTCGCTAATCCACATCCTATTGGCACCTGTATAATCCTTAATCTTCTCACAGTATCTTTTGTTAGTATATTGCACCTGTTTAAGAATTTTGGTCAGTTTTTTGGCAGCTGGTTTTACAGAACTTTTCTTTGAGCCAATGATATATTGATATATATATACGGACGGACGAACGGACGGACGAACGGACGGACGGCTTCTCTATATCCCCCTCGAACTTCGTTCGGTGGGATAATTATGCACCATTCAAAAGTTTGTGTGAGACCTCCCCTGACGCAGGTATGGGTGGGGAATTTGACAAAAATTATTTGGCCTGTCTAATTCCTTACCCCGGGGTCAAATAAATGTGTCAATTTCCCTACCCTTGGAGCAATAAATCTGGTCAAATATTCGCGACACCCAGGTCCTTCAACCATTTGAAATCTATTTTTAAACATCAGATTTCCTTGTTAGTAGACTGATACTCGTAAATGTTGAGGCATTTGAAGTCCATGGTTGAGGGATACAAGTGCAGTACTTTGTTTATGTCAATATTTTAATTAGAGGCACCATATATGGTCATACGATTCTTCGCGTAAAGTCCACTACATACTGTAAGCTACAATTAATTTATGAATGAAATGTTCGCTTATGATATACATATTACCAATAGAGAAGCAGCTTTTTAAATGATGCAACACTAAAAGCCAATGAGAATACAGTCCATTTTATGACGTCGTTTTTGCAAATTGCCTGAAGGTTTTGACAAATGAGCCGAGAGGAATATGGTTTAACTCTTGGTTTGTATCTGATCAACAAAAGAGGAGAACATACCTGTATGAACAATCATTTTTTGTTGAATGGGCGGGTGGATTGTTGCGTTTGATGGGTACAAATCGGGAACAATTCCACATCGTAATAATTTTCGAAAGGTCTCTTATAATTTATGCGATGACGTATTTTAAGATATTGGCTTTTTACTTTAATGGGTTACTCCGTTTTATTCATCTATATCAAATTAATTAAATTAAAATTCATTCGAACATCACTTTTTTTCAAAAATTAATTTTAGAATAAATTAATCATCCATATTAAATCGTTAAAGTTAAATTATGACGAGCATAAAATATAAGTAGAATGCGGAAGTGCATTTTTCTGAACGGAGGGCGAAAACAAGCTAGACAAACCAATAATTAAGACACTGCTCAGTATTGTAGAATTCCTCTCTCCAGAGGTTTTTCTCGGCTATTCCCCCCCCCCCCTGAAACTATACCCAACGTGTAGATGAGTTATTTTCTTCTGTTTCTGATACGAGCGATCATTACATGTAGTTCACTGAATATACCGATCATTTGCAATTTCCGAGAATCCTAAAGTGTATACCGGACAAAACGGAGTAAGTCAAAAATCCCCATTCCCGGGCACATGTAAATCAAATTCCCAAACCCCGGGACGGCAATCTTAGTCAAATTCCTAACCCTGGGGGCAATATTGTGGATCAAATTCCTTACCCTCCCGCGTGGGGGGTCTCACGCAAACTTTTGAATGGTGCATTACTGTATAAGTAGGAATTTTGCCCAATCATTTAATTAGCCTATTGCCTATAGCTAATTTTTGTCAGGTTCGGAAAATTAAATGTCAGAAATACTATCTTCATAATGTTATCCAATGGGAAATTTCTTGTCTTTAGGAAAATTGAAATAAGGAAAATGATTAAATTTGGCAAATTAATTACTCAGATTAAATACCACTTATACAGTACATCCTCTGAGTCTATTCACTTTCAGGCAATTCACATTGTGTAAAAGAACTTACAATTTCATGAGAAATTGTTATTAGCGAGGAACTGGTTTTTAGGATATGCCTGGCCTCAAGAAGGCTGTATATAGGGGCCCATAAAGTCCAAGTCAACTCTGGTATAAGAGACATGAGCTCCCATTCTCCCAAGCCATTCCTCGTACAGTTGATATACAACAACACCTGCAAAATGATAAGAAACTATGGGAAACACTTTTCAGTGCTTAGATTTTAAATAAAATACCAGCCGTAAAGAAAAAAAAAGGTGCATGGTAAATCATAACATTTTCAATGTTTTGTTTAATTTTATACTGTGTAAATACTCTGAATAACTAGTGGAAATCTTAAGAAATTAGATGAAAATTTTAAAAAGTTAGCAATGGTTATAAACATTCTCTCACAACCTTACTAATTGACTTTTTCCTTTAAATTCACTCATAAATTACAATTTGCGATTATACACTGTAATACATTTTCCTCTATGGCAAGGATATCATTTTTTGTATGTTAATTTTTTATACCATTGTAAAGCCAATATCTCAAACTGTTCATGACTGGCAAGTGTGAAATAAATAAAAAAAAGTGTGAAACCAGAACAACGGCAACGCCAAAGCATAGCGAACCCCATCAAACAGAAAATGCTGGCATTTTTTCAAACAAAATATCGTAAAATAACATCCATAAGAAAGGCCATCATTTTCAAAATGGTTGCTCACTAGCCAAGTTGTCATCAGAAGAAGTAATATGCTTTTAAGGAGCGACACATTTTTAAAAAATCGCACACACGTACATGTAAATGCTGGCCATTTTTTAAAATGGCCACCTTCTACCCAAAATGTCATACGACAGTATGCAATCCTTATGAGTATTCACATATCAAATATGAACAAAATCACTCTATTACTTTTTAAAGTATAATAAAAAATGTAAAACAACAAGATTAACATATCAAATTTTAACAAAATCGCTCTAATACTTTTAGAGTTATAGTAAAAAATGTAAAAATGATAGCCATTTTTAAAATGACAAGCTACTATGCGAAGTGTCATGAGACAGTGTGCAAGGTTCATAATAATTCAAATACCAAATATGAACAAAATCGCTCTACTACTTTTCAAGTTATAGTAAAAAACGTAAAAAATGGTGGCCATTTTGAAAAATGGCCGCCTACTACCAAAAATGTCATTAGACATTATGCCATGCTTAAAGTATTCACATACCAAATATGAACAAAATCGCTCAAGTACTTTTCAAGTAACAGCAAAAATCATAAATACTACCCAAAGTGTCATTAGACAGTGTGCCATGCTTATAGTATTCACATATAAAATATGAACAAAATCGCTCTACTACTTTTTGAGTTATAGTAAAAAATGTAAAATAACACACGTAAAAATGGCGGCCATTTTTCAAAATGGCCACCTACTATCCAAAATGTCATTAGACATTGGGCCATGCTTAAAATATTCACATACCAAATATGAACAAAATCGCTCCACTACTTTTCAAGTTACAGCAAAAATCGTAAAATGATGTGCAAAGGCAGCCATTTTTCAAGATGGCTGCCATGTATTTCTTCTGTATTTACATTTCTAGCTCAATCAATGTCCTATATAACTTTTTTACATTTAAAACATATTGTTATTTCAGTTTTATATGCAGTACCTAAATTACTGTAAAATCGGCACTAAAATGGCCGCCATTTTTAAATGAGCTGCCATTTTGAAAATCGGTTTTCGAGCAGAACTCCTACCCCCATTGGGTATATATATCCAAATATGAACAAAATCGGGCCAACAGTATTTGAGTTATTGCCCGGACGGACAGACGGACGGACTGACGGAGGCGTTCCCTCTATCCCTCTGATGGGATAATAAACATTAAGATATTTACAGAAAGTTATGGTAGTGCCAAAACCCATCTTAAACATGATGTTTGGATGATTTTACCCCTTGAATAGTAATGAAATTTAGGGTGGGAAGTAACCATTTTGCTCAATAAACACATCTATGTTCTCATCTGACATATATTTCCATATGCATACGCTAAGTATAGGATGTATACCATATTTATGAGTGATTGAGAAAGACTATGGGTTATAATTATCTTCAAATTTCAAGTTTATTGTTATAGATGTCATCCCTACCCTAATTTTGAATTGAAGAGAGACCCTTGAATCTGAAAGATATTACCTCAGATTCTGTCACGAGGTGGTTCTTTAATCAGGCTTTCATTCTATAAACTGATATTTTTCACAAAGTTTTATTAGATTGAAAACTATTTAAGATGATGTATTCTTCTTAACTTTACTAACAATTGAATTTCATGTCTAACAAGATCCCCTCATTGCTAGATATTGGATTTCTCATATTTATGACATCAATTTATTGTAAAAAGTCACACCCACTCAACATGTGAGGTGTTCTATTCAATCCTTTCTAACGTTTTACCATATCTCCAAAATTCTTTGGAATTTTCTGCATTTGGTCAAAGTATACATACATTATACCTCTAAATGTTTGGTATGATAACAATGAAAAATAAAACATATATGATTAATAAAGGACCTTGTACCTTTTTTCTGAGTCTTCAATAACTCGCGTAGATTTTTGGAAATCAATATTTCGATAAATCCACATCCTTCACAAAGTATGGGAAACTTCTTTTTCCTGTTGACTTAAATTTTAGTTATGACAATGGCTGACAAATTAATACTCATATTTTTGCGTTTCATAAATCCATAACAGTTGTTATTTTACTATAACATTATGACAAAATGAAAAAAATCTGATATTTACTTTTTGTACAATTTCCCCGACATTCTGATCATCAAACATTTCAATGATGCCATCTATTACAAGTTTGTACAATTCTGAGGTATTCCCTGCAGCCAATAAACAATCCAGTTTAGTCTCAAGTTGTTTGCTTCCACAGCTGCAATATGAAGAAAATTAAAGAAAAAAATAAAGCAATGAAAATGTTTACCAATAATATTGTATAATATTTAAACCAGAGGTACATTTTACAAATCATTTCTTTTCTCTTAGTCTAAGATCAAATGATGACAATGAGATTTCAATGTTTTTTTGCCAAGAAAAATGTTCAGTGAAGCTATTTGTTCACTACAGGGAGGTAATTTATACAGAATTCAAAAGGGTGTGTGCAGAGGACAGGTGCCTACAAAAGACAGATGTTCACTAGAGAAAGGTGTTCACTACGACAGGTTTTACTATAGATGATTTCGAAAAAATATTGGTCAATTTGAAACACGTTTTTTGACCATGAGAAGGTCATTGAAAGTGAAATCTTAAATCTAAATCAGATTTGAACTTCTGAGAGCTTGAAGATGTTTTTAGAAAAAAACATTGGTCAATTTGAAGCAAGTTGAAAAAAGACCTTTTTGACCTGAGAAGGTCATTGAAAGTCAAATCTTTTTGACCTTGAGAATTTTACTGAAGGTCAAATCTATAGATTTGAACTTTTGAGAACTTGTAGATGATTTTGAAAAAAATTTGGTCAAATTGAAGCAAGTTGAAAAAAGACCTTTTTGACCTTGCGAAGGTCATTGAAGGTCAAATCCTTTTTGACCTAGAGAATGTCATTGAAGGTCAAATCTATAGTCAGATTTGAACTCTTGAGAACTTGTAGATGATTCTGAAAAATATTGGGCAATTTGAAGCAAGTTGAAAGACCTTTTTGACCTTTCTTTGACCTTGAGAAGGTCAGTGAAGATTAAATCTTAAATCTAAAGTCAGATTTGAACTTCTGAGAACTTGTTAATGGTTTTGAAAAAAAATTGGTCAAATTGAAGCAAGTTGAAAAAAATCCTTTTTGACCTTGAGAAGATCATTGAAGGTCAAATCCTTTTTGGCCCAGAGAATGTCATTGAAGGTCAAATCTATAGTCAGATTTGAACTTTTGAGAACTTGTAAATGATTTTGAAAAATTGGTCAATTTGAAGCAAGTTGAAAAAAGACCTTTTTGACCTTTCTTTGACCTTGAGAAGGTCATTGAAGGTCAAATCTTAAATCAAAGTCACATTGACCTTCTGAGAACTTGAAGATGATTTTGAAAAAAAATTGGTCAATTAGAAGCAATTTAAAAAAAGACCTTCTTGACCTTTCTTTGACCTTGAGAGGGTCATTGAAGGTCAAATCTTAATTCTTAAGTCAGATTTGAACTTCTGATGACTTGTACATGCTTTTGAAAAAATATTAGTCAATTTGAAGCAAGTTGAAAAAAGACCTTTTTAACCTTTTTAAAGTCAAATCTTAATTCTAGTGTCAAATTTGAACTTCCATCATCCATCATCTGCCGATCGCTGTCACAAAAAATGGAGACCATAACAATATGTCACCAATTCTTTGTGGTGACATAATAAAATCTCTTGACAAATGCATCACAGGCAAATTGAAAGTATGTAATTCATAAAAAATTGAAAAGCACATACATGTTTTATATAATTTATACTTACCCAGCAAGATCACTTGAGAGTAGAGTAACATAGAGAGGGCTACATGTTGCAGCTGTACGACAGTGGGTCAACACACGACTTTCTTGTTCTCTGTTCATAGATGTCTCTAAGCTAGCTAGTTCAGCATGCAGTAGCTCTCGCACATTCTTGTTGCTTAGTGGCTCTAAGTGAATACTAGGCCAAGACCTAAACAGAGATAATATTGCCAAATGTTAAAAGGTAGGTAAATGTAGCTTGGTGTGTGTTCATAGGCGGCACAAGACTATTAGGATTGTAATTCGCATCTTCTGTTGCATTGACCAAAGAACCATGAAAGATTGATATATTATAAATCTATGAGTACACCAGTCATAAGAAAAACAAAGCTTAACCATCCCAAACCATGATCTAATGGGGAAAGAAACAATGTCTAATACCCTCCTCCCCCACCTTTCAAGTACCATTATCACAATCTGAGACCACAACACCAAGGAACATTTGAAGTCATTACAATACATGTTAAAGAATACATTTAAATTGAAACCAATACTGATATTAAAACAGCGGGGCGTAACCAGGATTTTGGGAGTGGGCACGCGAGGCCGAATGCCAGGCAAAACTAGGGGGGTCCGGGGGCATGCTCCCCCAGAAAATTTTTGATTTTAGACCTTAAATGGTGTGTTCTGAGCGATATCAGACTATGTAATGGGGCACTATTGATTGTATACATTGTTCGTGATACATGTAAAATAAAACCACATATGACAAATTATTGCCCATTAAATGATATCATCATTCAATGTGTTCAAGAAATGGAGACTAAATAAAAATGATGAAGTGGGTAAATGGCGAAAATGAAAATTACTACGAATAGGAGAAGATCCATTTTGATACGAGGACAACCTTTTTTCATTTCTAGCTGATCCTCATTGATTGAGCTTGTTCTAAAGTGACGTTAAAATATTGTTCTGTTTTGATTTGAAGAGACAGAGAGATTGCATAAACAGTTTTATTATACTGATCTTGTACTTTTGCGCCAGCAATGTAATAGTTAAATTGAAGTTCTATTGTTCTGATATAGATACGATTTGAAATACAATCTATAATTCAAGAATTTACAAAGTACTTGAACGACAATAATCGCATATTGCCGTACATATTACATTGTTTTAAGCAAGGATGTATTGGAAATTAAGTCAAGTTACGTTCGCATCAATATTATAAGTATTTTTCATCGGAGGTTAAATAAATAACAAATTAAAAGAGGCTTTAACACGTAGTTCAATGGCGGAGCTTAGGTTGCCAAACTTATGGAGGGAGTGTAATATACGCCAAAGTGGTTTAAACTTTATATGGGGCCTTTAAACAAATGCAAAGCGTAAACAGCGAGGAGCCCTTGCCCCCAACTCTCTTACAATTCAACGCTTATCGAAAATAAAGTTTTTGTGAATATGCATCAATGCCAGTGAACTTAAACGAGTTTGTCCCATAGTTAATCTGAGATAAATCTTGAGACGCCTCATAGAGCTGAAGCTGCGTTCAGCTGTTGCAGTAGAGACGGGGAGAACCAACAACAGGGCAGTGGAGATATTGGGGTATAGGACACGGTTGGTTTGCTGTACCGCATCTTATAGCGTTGATGGTCCGTTACCTATTGGTACATCTTGAAGGGAAGTATAGTCCAGGAAAGATCATGAAACAAACTATTTTGCTTTACTTTTTTAATTTTTTAAAACAATTTATTTTTTGCTCCATCATTTCAGCATACACCCCTAAAATTTGTGTTAAAAATCAACTGCAACACCAGCAATTTATGGAGAATCGGGACGCTACCCATTAAAAATATGCTTTGAAATCAAATTAATTAAATATTGGCTCCGTCTACTTCATCTACCACCCGGAAACATTCTTCATAAAACATATATGTATGACCGTGAAATGAGTCAATTTGTTTTTAAAAGCATATGGTCAAACAAAGTCATTGATATATTAAAAAAGTGTGATTTATTATCTTATTGGGATACTCAAAAGATCGATAATGACAATATTTTTATCTTTTTATTTTATTTTTTTTACTTTTATTTTTATTTTTAAATCATGTACATGTATATATTTCTCATTTTATAACTTTGTATACAAGTACATCAGGTCATTTTACAATATTACAATATTTGTGAAAAATGATGACAATATTTTTATCAAGACAATAACAAAAACACTGTATCAGAATTATAAAACTCAGTGGAAGAAAGATATATTAAATTACCCTGTCTTGAGAACTTATGTTAAATTCAAAAATGTCTTTGAAAGAGAGGGTTATTTAAATATCCAAAATAAAAATTACAGGCAAGCAATTTGTAGATTTAGGCTTAGTTCCCACAAGTTACATATAGAACTTGGTCATCATTTGAAGCCAAAGTCAAAACCTGTTGATGAACGTTTATGTAATATTTGTGGTGTTTTAGAAGATGAGCAACACTTCATCATGATTTTTAAGAAAAACACTACAGAAAGAAAACTTTTGTTTGACACCCTTACACAATTTAATTTTGTAGGCAGCCCTGACATTATTTTCAAAAACTGATGTCTCACAAAAATCCTTATCTAATTTTACATTTAGTTCATCTATCATTCACTCAAAAAATTGGATTAATGTGTCAACGATGCATCACACTGATATTGAATTTCTGTCAAGTTGTTTCTGTATTTTACAATTATCTTGTATTTTTGTATTTTACATTTGATGATGTAACTAGACAACAGCAACGCCAAAGCGTAGCAAATCCCATCGAACAGCCATGGCTGGCATATTAACAAACAAAGTATATAGCAACAAATGGCAGCCATTTTTCAAAATGGCCACCTTCTACCAAAAGTGTCATTAGACAGTGTGCAATGCTTATAGTATTAACATACCAAATATGAACAAAATTGCTCCACTACTTTTCGAGTTAATATTAGTAAAATACATTAAAATCGTGGCCATTTTTCAAAATGGCCTCCTTCTACCAAAAGTGTCATTAGACAGTGTGCCATGCTTATAGTATTCACATACCAAATATAAACAAAATCGCTCCACTACTTTTCAAGTTATAGTAAAATATGTTAAAATGGTGGCCATTTTTCAAAATGGCCACCTTCTACCAAAAGTGTCATTAGACATTGTGCCATGCTTATAGTATTCACATACCAAATATGAACAAAATCGCTTCACTACTTTTCGAGTTATAGTAAAATACGTTAAAATGGCGACCATTTTTCAAAATGGACGCCTTCTACCAAAAAGTGTCATAGGACGGTGTGTCAAGCTTATAGTATTCACATGCCAAATATGAACAAAATCGCTCCACTACTTTTCAAGTTATAGTAAAATATGTCAAAATGGCGGCCATTTTTCAAAATGGTCGCCTTCTACCAAAAGTGTCTTTAGACAGTGTGCAATGCTTATAGTATTCACATACCAAATATGATCAAAATCGCTCCACTACTTTTCAAGTTACAGCAAAAATCGTAAAATAACGAGTAAAGGCTGCCATTTTTCAAGATGGCTGCCATGTGCTTCTTTAATATCTACATTTCTAGCTTTATTACTGTCTTATATACTTTTTTACATTTAAAATATATTGCTATTACAGTTTTACATATTGCACCTAAATTACTGTAAAATCGGCACTAAAATGGCCGTCATTTTGAAATGAGCGGCCATTTTGAAAATCGGCTTTCGAGCAGAACTTCTACCCCCATAGGGTATATGTGTACAAAATATGAACAAAATCGGGCCAACGGTATTTGAGTTATTGCCCGGACGGACATACGTACGTACGTACGGACGGACGGAGGCGTTCCCTTTATCAACAATCTCAAGATCTCTTTCTAAAAAACATTTTGAATGAGAAAAACAATGAAGTGAATGGTAATAAATTAAGAACTTTCAGGCAATTTAAGTATGGCGTCGTAGCAAAAAGTTATGTAACTTGTTTCATCCCAAGACACCATCGAAGTGCATTGGCTAAACTGAGAACTGGGACGCTACAACTCCGTATAGAAACTGGTAGATATGATGGTACTCCTCTGGACCTGAGAATTGCAAACTTTGTCAGTGATTTGGGTGAAGTTGAGAATGAAATTCATTTTCTGATAAAATGTCCACACTATAAGCTCCTAAGGGATACCTTCTATAGAGAGATTGTGCAAGAGCAATTGCCATATATAGACTTGAATAATGCAAATTCACTTTTGACATTTATTAGCCTAATGCTTACCAAGAAGATTCAAAAACCTCTAGCAGCTCTTATTCATAATATGTATTCATAAAGGCAATTTGACTATGGCAGATTATAGGAGTTACATTTGTGAAGTCCAGGCTTGGTTAAAACGGATACTTTTCTTTCCCACATGATACTTTTTAGAATTAATGATATAACTGGACAGCAAGTGTGTGTCCCCAATCTGTAATAGTCATTTTCCAGCACTTGACTGCAAAATTTATTGTATCAATACAGTTTATTTATGTTTGTATACATATTCATTTATTGTGATAATGGCCATTAATAGGATGAAGGACCCACGGTCCTGTGCTCACACAGTTTGGAACCTTCAGAGGAATGTAAATCCTGACTTTCAAACAAAAATATTGATTTGGATTTGCAGTCTCGAACTTTGAGAAACTTAGATAGCACAATTGTGTGACCTAGTTTGATGACCTTTGACCTTGAAAATTTTACAAATTCAGAGCTCAGTAAGGTCAATTTGAAAAATCAACTTTTTTGACCTTTTGAAGGTCACTGAAGGTCAAGTAAAGGTCAAATCCTAAAACTAATATCAGTTTGAACTCCTGGCAACTTGTAGATGATTTTCAAAAAAATTTGGTCAAATTGAAGCAAGTTGAAAAATAACTTATTTTTACTGTTTTTTGACATCAAATATCACAAAAACGGTAAAAATTTGATGCTGACATATATTGAGCAATATGTAGAGAATGCTTAAATCTAGTAATGATGTAATTCATTGCAAGAAATGATCGAGTATAAGGCAAACTTTGAGAAACTTGTCAATCACAAAACCTGCCATTGACTTAATACATGAGAAAGTTTCCTGAAAATGACCTAAGTCCTACTTTTTGTCAAATTTTAAAGAGTAAACACCAAAAACTGTAATTCCAAGAGCTTTGAAATCTTCAGAGGACATAAGTTGCATATACAGCAACTACTAAAAGTTATTTGAAAGTTCTACTTCAACAAAGTGTCTAGTATTTACAGAAAATTTGACTTTTTGACGTCAAAATCCGCAATTTCTCAAAAACCGGGCAAACTTGGGAAATGGCGATGATAGGTCAAATAGGCATTATGGATATGCATAAAATGAATGTGGATATGTTTCAATCTGAATAGCAGTTTTAATTTGTGCGGCCAATGTTGACGGACGGACGGATGGACGGACCAACGGACGGATGGACGGACGGACCAACGGACGGGCGGATGGACCAATGGACGAACAGATGCCTGGTCGATCCCATAGGCTCACTGTGTGAGCCAAAAATCATTGTCAAAGCATTTAAAGATGGCAGCACTTGAATACTACTCTATTTAAGAGTGCTCTAAGTCAACTTACTCTAGTCAATACAATTAGATATACATTTAATGGTGTCTCCTAAGCCGATGCCAGCTGGTGGGTTTTTTAAAAATATGTATTTATTATATGATATTGAAATTTTTTAAACCTGTGACACAGAAATAAAATATTTTAAACTTTAAACTAAATTAATATGTCATTGAAATGACATCAGAGAGTCAATAAAAGATATATATATATTTAGGGTACGCTGTACCCTCGCATATGCCTGGTTACGCGCCTTGATACTATATTAGCCTGTAGGCATTTTGCATACTTCACTTGTTTATATGATACACTTAACTCATATTTATTACCTCAATTTGAGGCAAACTGAAAAAAATACCTTTTTGACCTTTGAAAAGGTGAAATCTCGAATCTAAAGTCAGATTTGAACTTCAGCATACACCCCTAAAATTTGAACCAAATCCTTTGACCAGTATTTGAGTTATCACCTGGACAGACAGACAAAGAGACAGATGGATGACCTGTTCGGTGGGTATCTAAATCACATCCAACACATGACAAAATGACACTTACCTCCAAGATTTTGGACATGACTGTTTATGCACTGACACAATGACCCTGGTGTCCACTGGGAGCGGGTCCAGGAGCCACTTCAAGTGCACCTCAGCTTGCTGGAAGTTCACAAAACAATAGTCCTAGATCTGGCATCAGTGTTTGATGGAATCATGGTGTACTTCAAGATTCATTTATGACCAGATGAGTGAAATTATTATTGATTCTAAGGGGAGTGACAAAGGTCATTGCACTCCCCATTCTGATTTCCCCATGAAAAAATTTAATGAGAGATACCATTTGTGTCATTTATTGTGAAATTATTTAGTTATGCATCGCTTCAGGTCATTGTGTATTTTTGGAATTTTCACGCTTCTCATTGGATAGCATAGGTATATAGAGGATATCCTATGATTTATGAGTGATATGATTTTTATCCACGAATGGATATGATATCTGCACGAGCGAGCGTAGCGAGAGAGTGCAGATATCAATATCCATGAGTGGATTAAAATCATATCACGAGTAAATCATAGAATGTTCTTTTTATTTATTGCTAAAAAACCGTATGTTATGGTTAAGTGAAAATTTGTCAAAAATATCATATTTTACCACTGATTACAAAAATACCGTTTTTATTTTCACATGTTATCCTATGAATATCATGCTAACTATGGAATAAATGATGATATCCCCATGTTAAGTCAATCATCATCCTCATTTTCTCAGAAGAACTTGGTTGATTGTATTCAACATTCTTAAATAACCAAACATATGCACCATTTTCAAATTCAAATCTCATTTCTGCTGACTACATCAACTCTGACTAATTTTGTAGCATTATGGGGTCACTGCACTTTATAACCTTAACCTCAGCTCATGTAGGTCCAAAGGCTAAAATATTTTTGAAAGTATCATGTAACATTGTATTTGTCATGTTACACCTTTAATAATTCATTTTAACCATGGGGATATTTGCCCATAATTGCACCTGGTCCTTTGCAAGTAACATGTTAGGTGACCTACCATTATCATCCTTAATACATCTCAAATATAAAATTTCCCAAAAGATCTATGTTATATTATCAATTGGCCATATTGTTTAAGTTTAAAAGTGCAAAAATTGGGATATGTTTTAATTCTCCCAAATAATAAATGTTGTAACCTTATTTATAGAAAAATGAATGCATTAATTTAAAATCTTTTAGATTTTTCTCAAATAAAGTACAGTATACATTTTGGGGATTTTTAGAAAATAGACATGAGAAGGAATGATTATGAGCATAAAATATGTCAAGAGTACTGTACTCTGACCACTAGTACTTGCTAGATCTGAATCTACATTTGAATGAAAATAAAAAATCATATTTTATATTGGCATTTGTGCAAACACATGTTTAGTTAACTGCATCAAATACTAAAAGGGACAATAAAATAACTTAATGTATTAAATCCTAAAAGGTCAGTGTAAAATCGTATCCTCAAGAATTAGCCCAGGGGACCTTTCAACACTATTATAACACTCATCCTCAAGAATTATCCCCCTGAACTTTTAACACTGTCAATATGTTGGCTATCAATACTGTTAAAATACACTAAACATTTCCAAGTCTTGTATTTATCCATGATTAAATTAGTAGAGTGATCTTATGGAATTTATGAGCTCAGATCCAATCAAAAGCAAAATAACAAGCTTTAAAATTGCAAAACACAAATGTGATTTATTAATTCAATGTATAAGTGATTTATTGAGTACAGTCAATACGTCTAAATCCAAACAGGGGGGTAAACCCGAACGGGTTGCAAACAATGGCAAGCAAATCATTGAATTGAATAATAGCCCCTCGACTACCTCTATATAACATTTATATCCTGAAAGATACCATATAATGATATATACCAAACTCTCTAACAATAAAATAATAAATTATGATGATTTAGGTGTTCGGAACCTCCATGCTAGTGTTTGGAATTACCCCCACAAACCCTATGCCTTAAAATAAATAGATGTCACTTATAAATCAATTATATTTGGAGTTATTGATATGCAGGGGTGTCAGGATCCAGTATCATTACTTCAGGGTATCATATAATGATATACCATCAATCTAACAAGTAAAACAAAGAAGTTTAGTTAAGTGTTTGGAATTACCCCCATGCTAGTGTTCGGAATTACCCCCTAAAAAATCTCCTGTTTGGATTTACCCCCATAAAATACATTGTATTTAAAGTGGTATAACCCAAATTTTTTGACAATTTATCGGAATATTTTTTTGCAAATGCATTTTACAGCATCTAATTCACATAACATATATAAAATTATTCTACAGATGTGCAGTACAGCCAAGCTAACTACATTTTTTGATGGGGGTGTTTGGAAATAGACGTATTGACTCTATATATAAACATATAATATGATAAATTTTTGGCATCTAGCATGTAGGTAATTATTACTTTACCGGGATTTGGGCTTGAGGATACGATTTTACATTTACCAATCCTAAAATACCTGGAATCTGTCAATGGAATCTAGTACCAGAATAATGCCACCAGGCGTCTTTGAGGACACCTTCTCTAGCCACCTTGGGAACTCATCCACGAGACGCCCTGGGTCACATGTCAAAGCAGGTGGTGATGTCACATGCTGCATCAACTTAACATAAACACAAGGGTTATGTTACTGGAGGTTTTGGATATGGGGTATATTCTGAGGGAAATATAGATATCTTACTGAGGGCCGGAGGGTTTGAGCTAAGATATCATATTTCCCAAGGGATAAACAGTACCCAATTCAAAACTGAGCATTACTTAAAGGATGTATATAAATATCAAGAACTTAGAAAACAACAAAAATTAGTTTTTTGAAAAATATCATCAATTAGATTATTTTTCATCAATTAAATTCAATACATACGCTTTTGCTCTCTAATTAAAACGTCTCTTATTAAGTACACTGGACAAAAAATTCTAAAAATTGCCAAAAGTAGGGGTCATAGTAACAGCTCCCACTCTTTCAATATATCAACAATTTCTATTTTTTTACATGGAATAGTTTAAATTAACTTGATTGGTGAAAGTTCAACTCAAGACTCCAGATTCAGACTTACTCTTTAAAAAACAATTTGACTTCTGATATTAATGAGAAAATGAGAAAGAACATAATATAGTCAAAAAAATATTTAAAAAATATTTTACTTCTAAAAGGTCAGAGTAGGTCAACCGGAAGTCATATCTCAATTTCGATATTCTAAAAGATTAGAAAGAAAATTGAAAATTTTGGAAACACAATTTGACCTAGATTTTGATCCTGACCTTTGACACTCAAAACTTTGAGTTTACTGACTTTTTAGGTCCTTCTACACTTTTACTATCAAATTAGAGATTTTAAAAATATGACTTTTTTCACAAAGTCGGATCTCAATTTCAATTTCAGATTTGAAATCCCAAAGTCTTCTAGTTACTGAGAAAATCAAGGGCGTTACAATACCCGGGAATTTATCGGTTCGTGCAGTACTTGTTTGTGATAGCGCCCTCTGTAGGTCACTGTGCTTATAGCCTACAGTAATACGGGGTAGGATATTGGGAATTCGGTCAGTTTCTATCCGTCGATTTCGCTATGAATTGAAGCAAGTGTGACCACTTTATCCACTTAAACAATTTGATAATTGATTAAATATTTAAACAAAATCGATAAACACGTTATACACTTCCTATCTCCTTAGAAATTAGCATGTATTTATGGATTGTGTTTTCGAACAAGGCTCGACCCAAACCAATAGGGAAATCCTTATGCTAATTAGTATGACGTCATATTTTCCTGGGGAATCCTAGATTTCAAAGCCTCAGTCTGTTATTGTGTCAAATGTAACAGCTCTTTTGCAGACAGAAAATTGACAGATTAGCTTTTAACTTTCAGCTTTGATGTTTAAATATTCTGTATTTCTACCGGACTTCTTGCTGAATATCATATAATGTTATAACTTGATTTGGATCATTGCCTGATTGCTCATTCTGAAATTTTGATTGTGGTTCATGATTGATTGGCAAGAAAAATAATTCCTATTGTTTTCCAGCGAAGTCAAAATGTTACAGCATGAGTTATAATGTCGAGTTTGCATCATGTTAAATTCTGCTAGTGATTAGAAGTCCATGCACAAGCATACACATAAGAGACAAACACACCCAGGCTCCAGGCCGTGGATGGAAATATAAAACTATTTAAGGCACAAACTGGTATTAATAGACCGATATGTAGTGTCTGCCATGTATTGAAGGTAAACCAATCTGCATTATTAATGTTTCTTCTATCAATACATGGATTGTGCAATGGAAAAGCAATGGCACAATCAAAAATGTGCATATCAATCGTGAATATCTCTCGGTTCAAAGCTTATTTCCAACAGAATCGTGTCAAAATATGTGTCTGAGTAACAGTTATACATTATAAGATCGCAAACTCTTACCAATTATCAGCCGAATGGCTCATTTTCAACGAAATGTCCTTAAGACAACAGCCCTGGGTCGCGCCTGAGACCAAAAACTATTTCAAGTAGCCCTCCCCTAATTATATTGGATAATCACATTTATGCGTGCGCGCGCAGCTCATCCACTGAACGAAACGCCACTTCCCGCTGAAATCACCGGGTATTGATCTTTCCCTTGAGAAAATGTGCTAAGATTAAGAAGAAGAATAAGAATACAGGCAAAAGCAATAGACTCCAGATTTTCAATCTGGAGTCTAATAATCAATATTATATTTACCCAGCAACATGCTGTATTAAGGCTTTTAAAAGGTGTGAAAAACACTTTAATAGTTATATACAACCTTAAACATTGTACTTTTTTGTTATTTGTATCATGTATTAAAATATTAATCCATGAATCTGTATACAGTAAGACCTGTACACAGTGAACACCTATGGAGTCACAAGAATGTGTTCACTATAGGTAGTGTAAACTACAAAGAGGCAATTTTATACAGAACTCAGTGGAGAATGTGCTGAGAAGAGGTGTTCACTAGACAGGTGTTCGCTAGACAGGTGTTCACTAAGACAGGTTTTATTGTTAGAACCTCAGTGTAAATACTCGCATCTGATTGGTCAATTAGCGGTCAACATTTTTGCCTGTACCTCACTTGTGCATCATGGGATATCATATTGTGACAAAATTGTGAGTTTCATTTTTGTTTTATTTTGAACTTTTATATGTGGAGTCAGTCGACTCTTTCAGAGAGTTTAATGGCTCAAATGTGTACATGCAGAATGTCACGTAGGCACTGGGATGTTTACAGGATCAGCAGACTGAAGTGGAATAAATTAGAATAATTAAGTACCCAGCAACCGGTGATCAGCCAATCAGATTCTTTTATTTGAATTTCCCTCCAACTTAAGTTGTAGTTTTCCCATGATGCAACTTGAGGTGTCTGGATTTTATTGTTTGCAATTGACCACGTGAAACAGAGTAAACCAAGATCTTGAAGATACAAGACCTCGTCAGTTTGGATTTATTTATGTGCAAGCGTTTTTTATTTAATCTGTGGACTTATTAGAGCATTATTTTGGATATATTGGATTAGTTGCAGTAATCGTTAGATGCAGATTGTATTTGGTGCGACTATTAAAGAAAATACAAGACAACAGCCAGTGTTTTGGTGAGTTAGCCATTTTCTTGATTGAGGTTGGCATAAAATGGGTAATTAGCTGTCCGCCATCTTGCTTTCTTGTTCCCACAATTCCCGGCGGTCGGCCATCTTTGATTTTGAAGGAAGTGACGTCATTTTGAGAAGTTTTGAGCTCCAGATTCTCTGAGTTTATTTGGCTCTGTCTAATCTCATTTCTTTGATCGATATTCGTGAGTCATTCTGCTCTGAGTATTGGTGGCTCCTAGTCATTACCCCTCCAAGCTATAAATGCTCCTACTTTGTCGAGGCGATCTGACTCTCACCCAGGGTTGTATGTTGAGGAAGGTTTACTCTCATCGGAGCCAAGGTTACATTACCGGAACTGAGGTGCTCCAAGGCGAGAGATAACAGCTCTGTCTAATCTCATCCTTTGATCGACATTCTAGAGCTGTTATTCTCTACAGAGGTTGTAGTTAGGTTGCTCCTGCGAAGCGGTGACTCCGAGAGCAGAGGTTACTCTTTGGAGACAGTGTAGCTCATTGAATGAGGGCACTCTTTGAGTAGAGGTTACTCCTGAGACGAGGCGATTCCCGGGGCTGAGGTACTAGCAGTGTGTGGATCTCGTTCAAGAGCAGAGGTTACTCCTGAGACGAGGCGATTCCCGGAGCTGAGGTACTCCCAGTGTGTGGATCTCGTTGGAGAGCAGAGGTTTCTCCTGAGAAGTGACGACTCCAAGAGCAGAGGATACTCCCGGAGCCTGGACCCCTTCCAAGAGACAGTGTAGCTCAAAGAGTGAAAACACTCTTTTGAGGAGAGTTTAAGGGTGGTTACTCCCGTGACAAGGCGACTCCCGAAGCAGAGGTTACTTCCGGAGCCAGGGCTCCTTCCCAAAGACGAGATAGCTCAAGAGGGAGAGCTCTTTTCAAGCAGAGCAGAGCAGAGTAGACAAGCAGAGTATTGCAGAGAGCAGAGCATAGCAGAGAGCAGAGCCGAGTATATTAGAGAGCAGAGCAGACAAGCAGAGCAGAGTATGGCAGAGTAGAGTAGAGACAGACGAACTCAGAGCCAGAGTGTTTTTCGACTCATGCTTATATATAGAGACATTATTGTATTACTGGCCATAAAGGCATTTGAGGACATTTTGAAATTGATTGTTATAGTAATTATAGTGTTGAATAGATTGTTAAAATCCCGTAATTGATTGTTTTTTTACATTGTGTTTTCCATCTCCTAGCTCAGTGACAGCTGAAGCACCAAACCAGCTCGGCGCCCGTGATAAACACCTCCGAATCCCTTATCATCGCCACCAGACCTTCTCCGAGGGAGTACGGGTACTCGGCGGGAGTCTGGCGCGCCACAATATTATTGACCGCGTATGTTACTGTACTACACTTGTGAATTATGGGAAATATGACGTCACAATGTTTACAGAAAAAAACATGGTAGTACACGTTGATGAAAGTGATATTTTGACTTTTCTACACGACGAGTATAGCAACAATACAAATAAAAACGCAAAATTAACATTAATTTACTAGTGAGTACGCAGTTATGTGCCGAAAACAGAGAGTTTAGCTTCCACTGTCTTCAGATTTTCTTAAAAATTATTGCTGGCGTGGTTCGTAGAAAAGATTGTGAAATGAAGCCGTGATTGATGACTGTCGTATATATGAGTATTATTAGTTTCTTCTGACTAACAAAACAATTGTAGACCTCTCCATTCGGTCAACCGTCAAAATCATATACCTCGACTGTAAACCTTGAAACACTTTTGACCTCGACCTTCGGTCTCTGTCAACAGTAGCTTCTCGGTTTACAGTCTCGGTATACAATTTTGCCGGTTGACCTCTGGAGAGGTCAACAATTGTATACTGTACATCACTTTCTTCAGAAAGCATTATACTATGCACAGAAATCAAAATTGCCAGCATAGTATTCAATAGACATGAGTATAATGATGCCCGTTGACACCAACATAAAATTGCAAATCTCCCTCCGCTTGTTTTGTATGCACCCTATACACATTACTGTAGTCATTCATTGGCTTTGGGTTCACGGTTTCGAAAAATATCGCTAGCTTAAACTCTCTGATAATTTGTAAAAATACCTGTGATGTGAACCTCCTAATCATGAGTACAGGGTCTGCACTGCTAGACGATGGCATTCCAACAAAGTGGTACAGCACTAGCCCCCCTCCTCTGTGTTGGAACAGGGGGATCCTACAATGAATAGCATATTCCTTACATCTCCCTTTATTTTGATGTGAAATAACAAGCTATGATATTGGTTAACATGCCTGAAATCACCAAATTATTATTCGAAGTATCTTTAGAGAATTTTGAATTTAGCACAACAAACAGACAGAATGAATGCAACAGAAAAACGAACAAAACAGGTTTGCAGTAAGAGCTGCTGTTAATTTTGCATTGACCAAAAAACAAGTTTTGGGGTCTCTACTGATTCATTAAAATATGGAATGCAAAAACATGACAACTGGAGATCTGAGTCACCTTTGTCTAGAAAAGTTGATTTAGGACAATGTTTATTGAGACAGAATAATTCAACAATGGTGAACAAGGAATGGTGACATATTGTTATAGTCTCTAACTTTTTTGAGGACGATGTTTGGCAGGTGGTGTTCAGCCTTTAGCATCTGTAACAAATGGCACTAACCCACATTTTGTTCTGACAAATATGTAAAATTGCAATCTAAAATATCACATAAATGGAAAAAGAACATACCGTACATATCAGATTATATATTAGATATCAATTGTTTTAACTTTTCACAGCCAGATATTATTCAATTAGTTTTTTTTTCAATTCAATTCAATTAATTTATTTCATAGAAACATATAATATACAATTATTGACCTCTCCAGAGGTTTACTGTCAAAACTATATCCCGAGACTGTAAACCGAAACCGTAGGTCGAGGTTTACAGTCGAGGGATATAATTTTGACAGTAAACCGAATGGAGAGGTCTATAATTGTTTTGTTAGTCCGAAGAATATCTTTTTCTGACCCTTGAAGTTGACTTGAAGTTGGATCCAGACCCTCGAGACGTTCATATTGTATTTCAGTATATCGGCAGTAAGTTCACTCAATGGAGTCAAATTACTCTCCTGGGCGAAGTCCACTAAAAGCTTTGTACAAAGTTTTAGATTTTTCTTCGTATTTTGACTGTCTTTACTCTCTAAGAGACTAATAATATCCTCATCTTCAACATTTTTGAAACGGCTAGTCCTAGCGGCGGCCATTGTATCGTCTGATAATGACGTCATTTTAGTGGAATGCTGGGAATATTATTCACCGGCAATGCATTGCGTGGTGTACAGTTAAAATTATTCACCGCTCGTTGATCAATCAAAATCGAGTATTTCAACTGAGGTACTAACAATAGATATTATACCACCCATCATATCATTAATTGATTCTTACACTTGTGTACATTATATCACAAATATAATGGAAAAACATCAACCTACCACTTAGCAAGTAGAAGAGATCTACCAGAACCCTGGTCTCCTGTGATTAATAATGGGGAGAGAGGCCCAGCAGCTGCCACATGGCAATTCAACCTTTCATAATACTGCAAAGTAAAAAAATTCATGAATAGAGGCTAAAAAAATACTGCAAAGTAAAAATGCATGTTCTTATTAATGTTTTATATTTGTCATTCAAATATTGAATTGTTTGGAGATGGACATCTATATTTCTGGTAGTATATTCAACGATGCCCGGAGGGTGAGTTAAACACATCCCTCTATGAACACAGATATCCAACGATCACAACATTTAATATTTGTTTTATTATTTCCCAAATAAGCACAATTACTGCATTTTTGGTGTTATTTATTTTAAGTCTGTCCAATGGCATGGGATAATGACACCTTTGTCATTGGACAATGGCCTTTATGTCATGGGAGAACGGCATTTATGCCACAGGAGAATCATGTGCTTTTGTTACTGGAGAATGGCATTTAATTGTCATGGAAAATGGCACTTATACCATGGGAGAATGACGCTTATGTCATGGGAAAATGGTACTTATGCCACAGGAGAATAGCAATTATGTCAAAAGAATAATAATGACACCTTTTTTTGTCATTGGAAAATGGCCTTTATGTCATGGGAGAATGGTGCTTTTCTTATTGGAAAATAGCATTTATGTCATAGGAGATTGGCATTCATATCATGGAAATAACAAGGCATTAACATGACAAAATGTCACCACCTAAAGGTCAATTTGAAGCAAGTTGAAAACAGACCTTTTTGACCTTTTTTGACCTTGAGAAGGTCATTAAAGGTCAAATGTCAAATCTAAAGTCAAATCTAAAGTCATATTTGAATTTCTGAGAACATGTAGATGATTTTGAAAAAAAAATTAAGTCAATTTGAAGCAAGATGAAAAAATACCTTTTTGACCTTTTTTGACATTGAGAAGGTCATTGAAGGTCAAATGTCAAATCTAAAGTCAGATTTGAATTTCTGAGAACATGTAGATGATTTTGAAAAAAAAATTTAGTCAATTTGAAGCAAGTTGAAAAAAGACCTTTTTTGACTTTGAGAAGGTCATTGAAGGTCAAATGTCAAATCTTAAGTCAAATCTAAAGTCAGATTTGAATTTCTGAGAACACGTAGATGATTTTGAAAAAAAAATTTAGTCAATTTGAAGCAAGTTGAAAAAATACCTTTTTGACCTTTTTTGACTTTGAGAAGGTCATTGAAGGTCAAATGTCAAATCTTAAGTCAAATCTAAAGTCAGATTTGAATTTCTGAGAACACGTAGATGATTTTGAAAATTTTTTTTAGTCAATTTGAAGCAAGTTGAAAACAGACCTTTTTGACCTTTTTTGACCTTGAGAAGGTCATTGAAGGTGAAATGCCAAATCTTAAGTCAGATTTGAATTTCTGAGAACACTTAGATGATTTTGAAAAAAAAATTTAGTCAATTTGAAGCAAGTTGAAAACAGACCTTTTTGACGTTTTTTGACCTTGAGAAGGTCATTGAAGGTCAAATGTCAAATCTAAAGTCAGATTTGAAGGTCAAATGTCAATTCTAAAGTCAAATCTAAAGTCAGATTCGAATTTCTGAGAACATGTAGATGATTTTGAAAAAAAATTTAGTCAATGTGAAGCAAGTTGAAAAAAGACCTTTTTGACCTTGAGAAGGTCATTGAAGGTCAAATGTCAAATCTAAAGTCAGATTTGAACTTTTGAGAACATGTAGATGATTTAGAAAAAAATTGAAGTCAGTCTAAACAGTATTTGTTAAGTTATAGAAAGTTGTAAGAAATTGTTACAGACGCCGGACGCCGGACGCCAACCTCCAACCACCAACCGCCGTCACCAAAAAACGGAGACCATAACAATATGTCACCACTTTTGGTGGTGACATAATAGCATTTATGTCATGGGATAATGACACCTTAAATGTCATTGGACAATGGCTTTTATGTCATGGGAAAATGGAATTTATGTCATGGGAAATGAAATTTATGTCGTGGAAAATGGCACTTATGTCATGGGAGAATGACACTTTTGTCATTGGACAACAGCCTTCATAGTACCAAACATTGACTTATAATGGGGATGCAATTGATTTCATTCTGCATATCTACAGTAGATATGCAGGATGGAAATGGCACTCATGTCATGGGAAATTGAAACTTTTAACTTTCAATAGCACTTTTAATGGGAGAATGACACATGTAAATGGAGAACAGCCCTCATGTCAATGGGACAATGGCACACATGTTATGGGAGAATTGCACTTATTTCATTGGAGAACGGCACTTATGTCAGGGAAGAATTGCACTTATGTCATGGGAAAATTTCACTTGTCAGGGAGAATGGCACTTATGTTATTGGAGAATGGCACTTATGTTATGGGAGGATTACACTTATGTTAGGTAGAATGGCACTCATGTTATGGAAGGATTACATTTATGTTAGGGAGAATGGCACTTATGTTATTGGAGAATGGCATTTATGTTATGGGAGGATTACACTTATGTTATTGGAGAATGGCACTCATGTTATGGAAGGATTACACTTATGTTAGGGAGAATGGCACTCATGTTATGGAAGGATTACACTTATGTTATTGGAGAATGGCACTCATGTTATGGAAGGATAACACTTATGTTAGGGAGAATGGCACTCATGTTATGGAAGGATTACACTTATGTTATTGGAAAATGGCACTCATGTTATGGAAGGATTACACTTATGTTAGGGAGAATGGCACTCATGTTATGGAAGGATTAAACTTATGTTATTGGAGAATGGCACTAATGTTATGGAAGGATTACACTTATGTTATTGGAGAATGGCATTTATGTTATGGGAGGATTACACTTATGTTATTGGAGAATGGCACTCATGTTATGGAAGGATTACACTTATATTAGGGAGAATGGCACTCATGTTATGGAAGGATTACACTTATGTTATTGGAGAATGGCACTCATGTTATGGAAGGATAACACTTATGTTAGGGAGAATGGCACTCATGTTATGGAAGGATTACACTTATGTTATTGGAAAATGGCACTCATGTTATGGGAGGATTACACTTATGTTAGGGAGAATGGCACTCATGTTATGGAAGGATTACATTTATGTTAGGGAGAATGGCACTTATGTTATTGGGTTATTGGAGAATGGCACTAATGTTATGGAAGGATTACACGTATGCTATGCGAGAATGGCACTCATGTTATGGAAGGATTACACTTATGTTATTGGAGAATGGCACTCATGCTATGGAAGGATTACACTTATGTTATTGGATATGGGATAATGGCATAAACCTACCTTCCAACCTGTTATTGGAGAATGGCATTTATGTTTTGGAAGGATTACACTTATGTTATTGGAGAATGGCACTAATGTTATGGAAGGATTACACTTATGTTATTGGAGAATGGCACTCATGTTATGGAAGGATTACACTTATGTTATTGGAAAATGGCACTCATGTTATGGAAGGATTACACTTATGTTAGGGAGAATGGCACTCATGTTATGGAAGGATTAAACTTATGTTATTGGAGAATGGCACTAATGTTATGGAAGGATTACACTTATCTTATTGGAGAATGGCACTCATGTTATGGAAGGATTACACTTATGTTATTGGAGAATGGCACTCATGTTATGGAAGGATTACACTTATGTTATTGGGTATGGGATAATGGCATAAACTTACCTTCTCAAAGCCTAATTCACAACTAGATCTGACAGCGTGTAATAGAGATTCAGCCTGCTCAATCTCACCATGTAGATCCCACAATCCTCCTTCAAAAAGAATAAACATTTATTTTCAAAATAATTTTCGGAAGATTTTGAATTTGAGATTTTTCTATGCAATATTTTAGGTTTATGCTATAGTTCAGCATTATCACCAATTGACAGCTATTGCCTTCATTTAATAATAAATAGGTTACCCTCAGAATCAAATCAAGGTGGTTTGCCCCAACTCTGATTCAGGGTTAATTATATAACATATAACTTTTGAAGAAGAATCTAATCCAATTTTTTGGGCCCGGTATTTCTTGTGTTATCTATTGGTTGAAGCAATGTTTTAACCTTTTTAAAATATATAAAAAAACAATCAGAGTCAAGATCTGATTCTCACCTATACAGAGAGTATCAGCCTCAGCCTCAGAGTATCCAGAGTCTGATCCTGTAGTCTCTTGTTCTTCATGTATGTTGATTCCCAACTCCTAAAGATAAAAATATATTGAGATTATTTAAAACATTATTCTAATGATGTAGTGGTCTTGAAAGCAAGAGGTCTTGGTTTCAACATATCACCAGCCATTCTTGTTTTCTTGGTGACTACTAAGTGCTAATAGCCTAATACACTGTAAATACTGAATTGCTGCCAACTGGATAAAAAGTCTGGGGGTGGCTGAAATTATATATGGTACTACACCACTTGAAAACAGAAAAGAGGAACATTTCATTTTAAGTGTTATCACCTTTAACAAAGAATAGAACCATTTTCATATGGATACAGAAATGGACAAGAAATTGTGACAAAAATTGATCCAATTGTCTTGTAACTTGGTACACCTATTCAACAGCTATGCTACTTTCAAATTTAAAAACATAAATAAACAACACGTTGCTTTTTTAGTCAAAACTTATGTTTCCAATTTTAAAAGCAGCCACTTCACACCTTGCTGTAAATAGTACATGTTATTCCAATCTCACTCACAATCTCTGGTGTAAAGGTTCAAAGCAAGATGAAAAATCACCTATTTCTATTGAATTTACCCATCAACGGAATAATAAAACAAGTCAGACGTATCAAATGAAGCTAAATGTTGCATAGTTTATTGCATAGTTTTTTGCTCAGATTAGTACAAATAAATTTTGCATCGGAAAGAAATTACCATGAGAGCAGAAATAAACTTGGTTTACTTCATTAAATATTCAGAATTTAGTCAAAGCGATGTCATATTTGAACTCTATTCGTAAAAGTATAATGAAAAATATGGTTTCAAAAATTGTCAATCAACTCTGAATATTAATTTTTTGTGAAAATGAGACTTCTAGTTCGGGGAGATTCCCCACAGACCCCATGTTATAAAATCAAAAATAGTGAAATATATTTTGTTAAATTGGACAGAAATACTTTTTCCTTCTGGACATATTTTAATTTGCATAACTATCAGATGCATAAGGGTGATATGAAAACTGAAAGACTAAAACTGATGATTATTTAACTTAAAGGCAACTTTCTACTATACCCATCTGGTGGTGAAACTGGTAACTATCAACTCACATCTGAGTTATTCAAATTGTATCTTTAAATGACTGCTCCATCACTACTATATGCATTGGATTCCATTCAAAAACACGGTTTGCATAATTTAATATCTAAAATTTATAAATGAATAGTACCGTGGGTACTGGGCTCACATGGTGTTGCTCAAAAGTGAATGATGGCTAAAATGACAGAAATAAATAAAGCGGATACATTTTTTTGCTAATTTTTTGTAACAAATTATTTCATACAACTACTCTTTATAAAGACATGACTTTTTACAATGCAGGACACCTGAATTTATTTGTAAAGCTAGGAAACGGGCCAAAAGTGAATTTTCCGAGACAAAAAAGGCGGCCATTTTGAAAATAGGCGAGCTTTTGAAGCAGGAGTCACGGGTTTTATTTTCTTTATTGATGTTGAACAAAGCTATTTTAAAAGGAATCTTATCTACAGAGGATTTAGAGCCAAGTGTTGACAGACAGAGGTTTAAAAACTTGCCACTATTTTGGACTGACTGAGAGACAGGTGGACAAATCAATGTTAAGTAAAATGGCTGAAAATAAAAAAAACAAGAGATAATATTTTGCCAATTATTTCTAACAAAACTATTTCATATAACTTCTCCTTACAGTGACATGGCTTTTTACAATGCAGGACTCCTGAAATTATTTGTAAAGCTAGGAAATGGGCCAAAATTGAATTTCACGAGACAAAAATGGTGACCATTTTGAAAAAAGGCAAGCTTTTGAACCAGGAGTCATAGGGGAGTTTTTTGAATTGATGTTGAACAAAAAAAACTTAAACGGGAATCTTATCGACACAGTTTGGAACCTTCAGAGGAATGTATATCCTGACTTTCAAACAAAAATATTGATTTGGATTTGTAGTCTCGAGCTTTGAGAAACTTAGATGGCACAGTTGTGTGACCTAGTTTGATGACCTTTGACCTTAAAACTGGAATCCTATCGACAGAAATTTTAAGGCAAATGGTCCCAAAGAGGATTTCGCGAGACAGATGGACAAATCAATGTTAACTAAAATGGCTGAAAATAAAAAAAAAACAGATATAATTTTTTGCTGATTTTTTGTAACAAAATTATTTCTTGCAACTACTTTTTACAGTGACATCGATTTTTATAATGCAGGACACCTGAAATTATTTGTAAAGCTAGGAAATGGGTCAAAAGTGAATTTCGTGAGACAAAAATGGTGTCCATTTTGAAATTAGGCGAGCTTTTGAACCGGGGATCATAGGGAAGTTTTCTGTATTGATGTTGAACAGAAATAACTTAGAACAGAAATCCTATCGACAGAGGTTTTAAAACGTGCCACTTTTGATGACGGAAAAGTGGATTTCGCGAGTCAGATAAACAAATCAATGTTAAATAAAATGGCTGAAAATAAAAAAAATAGGTGAGCTTTTGAATCATGAGTCATAGGGGAGTTTTCTGTATTGATGTTGAACAAAAATAAGTTAAAACGAGAATCCTATCGACGGAGGTTTTAAAATGTGCCACTATTGTTGACAGACGGACGGACGGACGGACGGACACACCGCACGGACAGACAGACGGACAAGTGAGTGATTGCAAAAGCTCACCATGTGAGCTAAAAATGGATACAATCTTTTGACAATTTTTTGCAACAAAATTATATCATACAACTACTCTTTACAATGACATGGCTTTTTACAATGCAGGACACCTGAAATTATTTGTAAAGCTAAGAAATGGGGCAAAAGTGCATTTCACAAGACAAAAATGGTGACCATTTTGAAAACAAGCAAGCTTTTCAACCAGGAGTCATAGGGGGGTTTTCTGTAGTGATGTTGAAAAAAAATAACTTAAACGGGAATCCTATCGACAGAGGTTTTAAGGCAAATAGTCCAAAAGTGGATTTCGCAAGACAGATGGACAAATCAATGTTAACTAAAATGGCTGAAAATAAAGAAATGGATTTATTTTTTTGCCAATTTTTTGTAACAAAATCATTTGATACAACTAGCCTACTCTTTACAGTGACATGGCTTTTTAAAATGCAGGACATCTGAAATTATTTGTAAATCTAGGAAATGGGCCAAAAGTGAATTTTGTGAGACAAAAGTGGAGACCATTTTGAAAATAGGCAAGCTTTTGAAACAGGAGTCATAGGGGAGTTTTCTGTATTGATGTTGAATAAAAATAACTTAAAACGGGAATCCTATCGACAGAGGTTTTAAGACAAATGGTGCAAAAGTGGATTTTGCAAGACAGATGGACAAATCAATGCTAACTAAAATGGATGAAAATAAAAAACAGATATAATTTTTTGCCGATTTTTTGTAACAATATTATTTCATACAAATACTTTTTACAATGATATGGCTTTTTACAATGCAGGACACCTGAAATTATTTGTAAAGCTAGGAAATGGGCCAAAGGTGAATTTCGCGGGACAAAAATTGGCGACCATTTTAAAAATAGGCAAGCTTTTGAACCAGGAGTCATAGGGGAGTTTTCTGTATTGATGTTGAACAACAATAACTTAAAATGGGAATCCTATTGACAGAGTTTTAAAGCAAATGGTCCAAAAGTGATTTTCGTGAGACAAAAATGGTGGCCATTTTGAAAATAGGCGAGCTTTTGAACCAGGAGTCATGTGGGAGTTTTCTGTATTGATGCTGAACAAAAATAACTTAAACGGGAATCTTATCGACACTGTTTGGAACCTTCAGAGGAATGTATATCCTGACTTTCAAACAAAAATATTGATTTGGATTTGTAGTCTCGAGCTTTGAGAAACTTAGATGGCACAGTTGTGTGACCTAGTTTGATGACCTTTGACCTTGAAAATTTTACTTATTCAGAGCTCAGTAAGGTCTTTTGTGATTAAGCTGACCAAAATTTACACCCAAAAATCAATTTGAAAAATCAACTTTTTTGACCTTTTGAAGGTCACTTAAGGTCAAGTAAAGGTCAAATCCTAAAACTAATGTCAGATTTGAACTCCTGGCAACTTGTAGATGATTTTCAAAAAAAAATGGTCAAATTGAAGCAAGTTGAAAAATAACTTAATTTTACTGTTTACTGTTTACGTCAAATATCTCAAAAACGGTAAAAATTTGATGCTGACATATATTGAGCAATATGTAGGGAATGCTTAAATCTAGTAATGATGTAATTCATTGCAAGAAATGATCAAGTATAAGGCAAACTTTGAGAAACTTGTCAATCAGAAAACCTGCCATTGACTTTATACATGAGAAAGTTTCCTGAAAATGACTTTTTGTCAAATTTTATAGAGTTAACACCAAAAACTGTATTTCCAAGAGCTTTGAGATCTTCAGAGGACATAAGCTGCATATACAGCAACTACTACAAGTTATTTGAAAGTGCTATTTCAACAGAGTGTCTAGTATTTACAGAAAATTTGACTTTTTGACGTAAAAATCAGCAATTTCTCAGAAACCGGGCGAACTTGGGAAATGGCGATGATAGGCCAAATAAGCATTATGGATATGCATAAAATGAATGTAGATATGACTCAATCTGAATAGCAGTTTTAATTTGTGCGGCCAACGTTTACGGACGGACCAACGGACAGACCAAAGGACGGACCATGGAGCCAAAAAAAAACCATGGAACCTGATATAATCATCATCTAGTACAAATTAATATGACTTACAAAAATTGTGGTGCTATGCTTATTTGATTTTTATCACTGTTTCTCGTCCATTATCGTTTCCATATGAAAATAGTCTGATCTCTTAGTATAGAGATTATGTATCTGTAGGCCTCTCTGTATTTACAAATCAATATTTTATGAAAAAAAACTTACAATTTTTGTTATTTTTTCTAGTTCATAGTAGACAGTATCACAGAGATTTTGGCTCAATGAGTATTCAAATATTTTAACACCATGACTGTCCTGCAGCCTCTTTTTCAATTTATCGACAGCAGTTTGTGATCTTGATTGATGTTGTTTTGCATGGAATGCCACTAGGCAGGGTTTTGCCCCAGGATTGTTGAAGTGACCTGCACTGAATTCATCATTTGTGCTCCTGTAATTAGGAAAATGAGGTTAAACTAGATATAAAGCCTAAAAATGTGAACCATCAATCATTGGCTCTTTCAGTATAATCTTGACAACACACATGCATGGTGACATGATGTATAAAAATGTACAATCTTGATATTATTTGATATGACAGACCTTTTGAGAAAGAAATAAACTTCTGGATTAATTTTCACAAATAGCAAGGCCTAATATGTATTAAATTTGAACCAGCTAGATATTGAACTTGTGCTGTGTGTTTAATCATCCTACAAGTCACTCTAGTTCTGAACTTAAATCTTTGAGTAAATAATATGTGTATGTTTGTTCTAATATCACATAGTTGGCCTTAATCATAAAAGTGTCCTATACCTATGTGTCTGTTCAGCAAGAATACCAAGGAATATAGATGCACCCTCTGCCTGGGAAATACGCGATTGGGCAGCCATCTTGAGTAATTGCTGATCTTTAGTGATTGGCATATGTATTATAAGAAGATACCTCCCCTCGGCCTCACATATACCTTGCAGCTTTGGACCAATTGTCTACAATATTCCAAAACACTTTACAATGTCCTCCATTCAATTGATAATAACTTTACAAAACATATGTTTGAAGGAGTCTTTTTGAAATAAATGGGTTTAATAACCAATCTGACTGTAGTTAGCTTGACACAAGATAGACTTATAAAGCCCCATATAAAGTTTAAACCACTTTGGCTTATATTGTTGTAGTCTTACCCAATAGTTGTCAAAATCTGAAACTTTTTATCGCTGAAATATCTTCATGAAAAATAGTAAATGAATGATAAAAACATATTTTCAAACTTTACATAGGGCCTTTAAGAATTTGAGAATGTAGATCTCAAAATATGAGTTCAGGCTGCCATTTAACCTATCTCGGATTTGATAAGAAATCAGCTTTTAAATATAATATCTTAATCAAAACCAACTAGCCCTGGATTAAAATTTGACCTGTATGTTGACAACCTTTTGCACATCCGTATAGCTCAGTGGTAGCACAGGAACCTCTTATGCAATAGGTCCCAGATTTGATCCCCAGTTCAGGCAAGATTCAATTTGCTTGTTTGCGTAAAGTACTTCAGAGTGTTTGACTGAGTGGTCCACAACTCATACAAAAGGCTGTGGTGTGTACCTGTATGTCTATGTATGGGTGCACATAAAAGAACACAGGGCTCCTTTGAGGAAGGGTTTCTGGGTCTATCTTCCAGGCTAATTATGTTAATTACGAACGAATATATATACAGGATATACCAAAGAGGTATTGCTCAACTTCATTGGTGGTAAACAAAATACTATATATATATATCTTTTATCGACTCTTTAGATGTCATATCATGACATATTAGTCACTAAGGTAGAGCAGTTCTTCCCATTGTCGAGTTGAAGAACTGGTATCTTTATCCTGGCTAGAACCATAGACAGTTCTAGCCAGCGCCAGCCTTTTATCGAGTTAGCACCACTCTAGTAATATATACAATACAGAAAGATATGCCGAGAACTAAAATAATAATCGTGGCATTATGGTCATTTTCCCATATAGCTTTGAAATCTCGTTTAAGTCTCATTTTTAATGAGATATTAGGAGATCTGCATTTTAACTATTAAAGACCATTAACATTTTCTTCTATTTGTTGGCATATTTGAATTCTACACGAGTGTAATTTTCTATTAAAAAACTTAATTTTGCAGATTTGCAGTTATATACATGTACCTTTAATCAAATTCTAAAGATTTTCAAGCTATCTAAAAAAGGATAGTCTCGATATGGTGAACTGAATTCAACAATGTTTTTCTCTTAAACAATTATTGAAAACATTCTGTAAAAAAACACGGTCCTTTATAATGATGTTGACTGATTGGCAACAACTTAATGAAAAAATTATTTATATATATTTATATAACTGTTTTTGTTAACATTTTTTGTCTTTTAATGCAATTGTTTTTTGTTCCTTTCTACCAATTCTTGAGAATGAAATAAAACAATAAAACAAAATAGCATATACAACATTTTCTTAGACCTTTCAATGTTATAGCTATCAAAGGAAATTTTGGTTGATTTAAAAAGTATGCAAAAACTTAAAACAAAACTTCTCAAAATGGAGAAAAATAAAGATAAACCTTTTACTTCATGAATAACATACTTTTTTAAAATCAACCAAACTTTCCTTTGTAAAATTACAATATTGAGAGACCTAAACATGTTGTGTTTATGTCGTTTTGTTCCAATGAGGTTCGGATAGATCTTTCATTTCATTCTGAACATATGATACCAAAAACAAAAGATGTGTCTGATGTGTTTTCTAAAACAATATGGAGAAAAATAGATATATATATTTCAAATTATAACGATACCATCCAAAAGTCCAAAAATTGATGATGTCTTAAATTTTCAAAATGTTTTGATGACTGGTTTAAGAGAAACATGTGTTCAAAAGTCTCACCATATCGATACCACTCCTTTGACATTAGGTCTTGATGAGAAAATGAGAAAGAAAATGTAATGATCTATTCTTCAAAAGCTCAGTATTCCTACTATTGCACTTACATTTAGAAAAAATTCTACATCACCCTGAGTATCTGAGGCAAATGCAACATAAATTCTAACAGCTGCAGATGTGATTGTCTCTGGTATTACAGGCACCACTTGAGCCAGACTTGCAGCAGCTGCATGCCAATCTTCTGTAAAGGAACAATCAAAATGACTTCATTTCAATTCTCCATTTCGCAGTTCACTCTTTAGAGAAGGTACGAAAATATGTACTAAAAAAAGCCCTCCAAAAAGGACAAAATTTGATTGGTCAATATTTTCCCAAGATTCATTTCATGACGCAACGCAGAAATTTTGTGACCAACTGATTTATACAATATTTGGAATCTACTCTAAAATGCCTTTCATTTGAGTATAACAAATTCACAGAGATCCAAAAATTAACGAAATTTTCTGGCAACCCCATACAGTAACTCTGGAGGTAGGGCTGAAAACACAGCACATATGTGAAATAGATATCATTTATGCTTACACAACTAACATTTCAAATAGTAATGATCATTACTTTGGTTGGAACACAAAAATGTCCCTGCTATTTTCAAAGCTAATGAGCCATCTTAAACTAGAAAAACAGCAACTCCACGGAGTAGCAAATCCAACCGAACAAAACATATTATGCTTATAATAGCTAGTGTAAATGTTGAAATGTTTGTGCACTTTGTGATAGAAGCATGAAAGGACAAGGTGCAATTATTGGCAAATATCCCTATGGTCAAAATGAATCATTCGTAGGTGTAACATGAAGAATAAAATGTCATATAATACTTTGGAAAATATTAAAGTGCTCGGACACACATAAGCTGAGATAGGGATCATTTCGTTCAGTAAGGTTGTATTGACTTACATGGGGCTGTGCAACATTGACTTAACATGAGGATATCAGCAGATCCCAATAGAGGCCATTGGTTTCCATTGATTATCACAGAAATACCAAAAATACACTATGACCTGAATCGATTGCAAACTTAATAATTTCACAATACGACACAAATGGTTTATCTCATCAAATGTGCAAATATGAAGTTTGCAATCAATTCAGGTCATACTTAAAATTAAAAGATTGTACATTTTTTCATCATTTTTTTCCTACAAAATGGCTATAGAAAAATGCTCCAAAAACAACTTTTACACTTATCAAATATCATACAAGTTTGTAAAACCAAAGATTATACTATTATATTTCATTATGTAGTAACATATTTGGATAAGATGCAGGGATGCGTAGGATATAAATGGATTTTGACAGACACAAAAATACTTCCTGGTTTGGAATCTATGCCTCTACACTTCATGATTGAATTTTGACCCTAATTAGTGGCCTATACATCAATACAGTGCTGAATATAGGTCAACAAGATACTAGTGTACATATAAATGTAATAATTGAAGCAGAATACTCATTTTGAAAAATCAGATGAATTATTTTTTCCCATGGGGAGATCCCAATGGAGGGTGTATAAGGTCCTTTGGCACAAAGTTAGTTTATACCATTGTGAACTAGGCATCATCATATAAAATTTGAACCAAATCCATTCACTGGTATATGAGTTATCAAAGATTACGTTTTTTACGAAAATTGGCCGCCATCTTGAAATTCAGCCGCCATCTTGAAAATTATTTCTTGAACAGAGCTACTGTGTCCCTAGGCATAATCATATAAAATTTCAACCAAATCTGTTCACTGGTATTTGAGTTATCAAAGATTACGTTTTTTACAAAAAATGCCGCCATTTTGAAATTAAGCGGCCATCTTGAAATTTTTTTGTCGAACATAGCTACTGTGTCCCTAAGCATCATCATATAAAATTTGAACCAAATCCGTTCACTGGTATTTGAGTTATCAAAGATTACATATTTTTAGGAAAAATGGCCGCCATTTTGAAATTAAGCGGCCATCTTAAAAATCTCTTTTTGTGCAAAACTCCTTTGTCCCAAGGCTTCTCTATATCCCCTGCGAACTTTTTTCGGTGGGATAACAAAATATTTCTTTTGTGTAAAGCTATTAACAAATACATTTCCACCACATATGAAGAAAATTCATCCACTAGTACCTTTATTTACATTTGTGAACGGTCCATTGAGTTCTACAATACTCTGAGCAAACTCTGGTCCCATATAAGTTTGCTGGTGTAACTGAGTAGAACTTCCAAGGGATGGTTCACTCTCTAATGCTGTCCACCAATCTCCAGGGTTACCTCCACCTAAGTGCAAGAAAGACAATGTCGTTTCAAATACAATTAATAAAAAAATAGTTTTGTGGGTACTGGGCTCACATGGTGTTGCTCTTAAAAAGAAATGGCAGCCATTTTGAAAGAAACTTGTAGACATTGTTGATAATCTAGAAATAAAAAGATCCTTGTATAATTTCAAGAAAATTGATGAAATACTTGAAGAGTTATGACCAAAAATGAGCTGAAAACCTGCTTTTTCTACAACAAAAGTGGTCACCATTTTGAATATTTGTGACCTGTTTTGCCGAAACTTGTAGTCATAATTGATAACGTAAAAATTAAGGTACCTGTACAATTTGAAGCAAATTGGTGGAAAACTTGCGGAGGTATAACTAAAAAAGAGCTGAAAACCTGATTTTTACGCAATAAAAATGGCCACCATTTTGTAACAAGGCAAGCTTTTTGAGACAACACTTATGGAACAATTTACAACCTTATGCAGACACATTTTAAAATTGAAATCATTCCAATTGTCGTGGGGGATTTTAAATTAGCTACCATTGTGTTAGCAGATGGACTGACGGACAGACAGACGGACAAACGGACAGTGGGTGATAACAATAGCTCACCTATGTGAGCTAATGAACAATTTGCTCTGAAAAATTGGTTTAAAAGTTTTACTTGATATTACTTTTTTTTAAAAAGATTAGTTAAAGAAAGGTAACAACACCTAAGTTTAATAATAATCATAAACTTTTAAAGAAACTCAGATTATAAAATACCTAGACTTATATCTACTCCAGTTCTAGAGACTGAATCTGGGTCATCAATGACACTACCCTGAGAGAGACGAGATAGCTTTGTCTCTAGTTGACGCCTTGCCTTCAGTAGATTCTGAATCTCATGTTCTTTGGTCTCACGAAATAGCTTCAAAGAGAAACACAAAATATCTAATGCCTAGCATTTCAACTTAGCCTGAAAGGTAAGTGCTACATGCATTTATTCAAAATAGAATGAAATATTTGTTATATTATATCACATGCTGAAGCAAGGAATATCAACAACATCCCTGTCCCACTCCCACATGCGTATAACTGTTGAGTAACTGCCTTAAATCTTTAATTTTCATGTGACTTAGATTTGACATTAATAATATGGCATTCATAATATACCTTGACAGCTGACTGATGTTAGCTCATGAGCAGACAATTGACCTTTGCTCTAAAAATATCAATTATTTTCAAATTCAGGAATTTTACATTAATATCCATGTTTGTTTGAGATACCTTGAACTGCCTCTGAACTTTATCTCTGTCATCCCTGAATGCAGAGCCTCTGGCCAAAGCATCTTGTTCAGCAGCCACAGCAGCATCACGTTCCCGCCTCAGGTTGCCACATGATTTCTAGACATAGAGACATATACAGGATAATCTGTTTTCTTTTCCAGTAGGGGGAGATTTCCACGATTGCACGTAAATGAATTTGGGCCAAAATTTTGAAAATGCCAAAAGCTCTATGTACAGTAGCAAGTGATTTTAAACGGTCATATCTTTCACCAAAAGTACTTTCTGGGCATAAATACAGTGTTTTTATTAAAACAATATGTTTTCTTTCAAGTGAAGTCCCCATGATGATAAAATTATCAATATAAGAATTCGAAAATGTATGAATACTGGGACCACATGTCAACAATCTTTTCAAAATGTTGAACCAATTTACTAAAGAGAGGATCTTCTTTAACTGATTTTTATTGCATGAAAAGATTATTCAACAAGGGGTCTAAAACTTCTTCAAAAGTAGAATGGTATTTAAAGTCTAGTTTTGAAGATATGAATTTTCGATGACCAAAATTATGTTGAAAATAATGGATATAGCATGAGTTTTCCCTGTGGGGAAATAAACCCTTTTCAGAAGTTATCAATATTTGATATGTTTAAATTGAGAAAAACAAGATCCTCTTTTTAGAAAATAAGCCAGACATTTTTTAAAAAGTGACAAGGTGGGGTCTTAATTCATAATTTTTCAGAGAGTTGGATTGATATTTTACTATCATGGGGACTTCACTCGAAAGAAGACATATTTTTTTAATAAAAACCACTATATTTATGCCCAAAAAGTACTCATGGTGAAAGATGTGACCATCTAAAATCACAAAAATGGACCTTAATGCAAGTTTGTTATCTAAATTGTTATTTTGGGAGGAGCAGATTTTTGGCCCAAAAATTTATCGACACCTCTGAGGTACAAGTTAAAATAGGTTCTACTAAGGAGTCAAAAAGGTGCAATGCAACGCTTACTCAATATATTTTCTTATATTGCTGTTTATTTAGACTAAGGTTTTGTTGCCTTTGGGTTGCGGTGAATACACCCTCAAATATATCACTGGTCAGTCTTAAGCGAAGGTTATGGCCATCACCTTCGGATTTAAGATGGCGGATGAGAAGTGTCAATTTTGATATTTTTAGTTTTCATTGAATTAAACTACTTTATAGTTGATGTAATGATTTGATTCAAACTAAATCAGACTTAGACATGGAAACTCTGGAGTATGATAATTTGTTTATATATCGTGCCATATCTTAATATCTTATAATTTTACCTTTTCTGAGCTATCGGCATGACATTTAGTTTAACATCTTCTTCTTCCTACCTATTTTCTTGAAGTGTATGGATATGGATACATTTAACAACAATTAAACTCAAAAATAAATCAGAAATAATGAACTGAAAAAGCGGATTCCCTCTTTTTTATTTTCCTAATTATCGACGTGAGAATACATGGCAGATATAATAGGGACATTTATTTCATTCAGTGTACGATATCTGAGGCACGATTGCACTGAACAAACTGTAATACTTCCCAGAGTTCAATCATTGTGCATGCATAGTGAGAATAAAAAGGTGAAATGTCATTCGTGAAGAAGACAATGAATTTGGTAAATTTTCTCTCCCTGTTACCCCTTGAAAGAAGGTACATGCTCAAAGTTTTTCTTGCAAAAATAAAAAATAGACGGTTTCCAAAGTCCTTTAACGTGTTCAAAGTATTCGTTTTACCGACATGCTGGGATCGTTCAATATGACTTGAGTGCACTTTGTTTTCACTTTAAGCGGTGAAAGATATCGCTGATTTGTGGCGCTTAACGTACAATATACATGTATGAACAATTGATCATGAATACATCAGGGTTTTCATGTCATATACATGTAAGCCTGGTATAGTTCAAATATCAAAGCATTACATCAATTCGATGAAAACTAAATATATCAAAACTCGAAAAACAGCAACTCGGAGAGTAGCAAATCCAACCGAACAAAACATATTTTGATTATTAGTGGCCATCTTGAAAATTTCTTCTTGAGCAGAGCTTGTTTGTCCCTAAGGCATCAACATATAAAATGTAAAAAATATCTGTAAATTAGCAGTTGAGTATTTACAGAAAATGGCAGCAATTTTGAAATTCAGCTGCCATTTTCAAAATCCATGTATTTTCACTAGGAGAGTTTTTAGGTAAGGCACTAGTGAAGTTAGTTAACTGGAGGAAATGACAAGTAGTGTTTTGGGAAAACAGGTAGCAAATCGCTACCTTTGCGATGCTAATTTCAAGCAGAATATATTTAAACACACAACTTAGAAACAATTAAATTAATATATAAATAATGACAGTAACAGCACTCCAAATAATAAAAGAATCTAGACAACAGCAATGCCAAAGTGTAGCAAATCCCATTGGACACCCCATGGCTGGCATTTTTATACAAATGAAGTCTAAAACAAAAATCGTAAAATAACACACATAAAAATGGCCACCATTTTTAAAATGATTGTTCAAGAACTAAATTTTCATCAGAAAGTGTAATATGATTTAAGTAGGCACATATTACATTTCATCAAAATCGCACACATGTACATGTAATTCAAGTGGCCAATTTTTAAAATGGACACCTACTATCTAAAATGGGATAAGACAGTGTGCCATGCTTAAATTTTGTAAATTTTGATATGGGACCCCTTGCACCCCCCAAATAGCGAAAATAAATATTTTTGATTTTCTAATTGTCTCAAACACAAAAAAGCATCGAGAAAACATCAAATACCCTGTAGCATCCCTCTCAAAACGATTGAAAAGAAACAATTCTGAGTTATATTCTATTGTCTCTAATAACACTTCGAGTATTGGTAAAAGGATCTCTCAAGTGTCATCATATGAAATAAGATATAAATCAAATGTATGTGACTCGTGGTTATCATCATATTGCGATATATGATGCAATCCCCAAGCTAAGTCAATGGAGCCAAATAAAAATAAAAATAATTAATTAAAATTAATTGATAATTTTGTAAATTAGACCCCTGTTGAAATCTCAAATGAATAAAACTCTGTAATGTTGCTTGATGCTAAACAAAGTCAGAAATAATCAATGATGTAATTATATCAAATATACAATAATTTAAATCATTAGACTGTAACAATAAACTTTAGAAAAACTTAATCAGTGTTATACACTATATGTACAGTGATCGCCTACTATCACAAGTAGGTGATCAAAGACTCAACAAGATGCGCAAAATTCAAATATTTTGTAACGGTTATTTTTGAAAGATTTATTTGCGTTTATATTACAGGCCAGAGTTCCGAATTAACGCTCGCCACTCTCAATTTGCGAATAATTGGTGAAGGGTTGCGAACATTTTTACAAAATAAGTCGCAAGTTTGGCGAATAGATCCTACCGTGAGCACAGATCCATTAGTTGTAAACTTACCAATAGCTGCCGAAAGTTTCCCGGTAATCCATTCCTTCTATCTATCTCAAAAATGCTTTTATGTCGGGATAAAATATTTTAAGTTTTTCAATATTTACTTCCGTCCTGTGCTGATGACACGACTAGTAAAAGATTCCCGCAATGGGGAATTTTACATAGGTACGGTTCAATTGTATAAAAATATTGGGCGTGTCATCGATTCACTTCAGTCCTAGTGGAAATGAAAAAAATGTGAAAAAATATAAAAAGTGAGAGATGATGCAGTCAGTGGCAAAGAAACGCAAGTTTAGAGAAGAGTGGTGTTACGGGAGACCATGGTTGAAGTGTCAGGACAACAACAACATGTTTTGCGCGCTATGCAAGGAGCAGGCAACGCACGGTGGTGGTGACAAACGTAATACATGATTTTGATGTAAAAAATTGGTTGTTCAGAAATATCTTTTTAGAAATCTTGAAGAAATACAAGATAAAAACCTTGAAATCAAAGCTTCAAAATGAGCCACAGAAATGCTCAGAATAATGCACCAATTTCGATGAAGATATCAAAATTTTCCCCCCGCACCCCCCTTAAGCTCGCACCGCTCGGAAAAGTGGCTAATGAAATAAAAATTGGCTAATAATTTTTTAAAATGTTAGCCACTTTGGCTAACATTAATTTGTCTTCATTCAGAACTCTGTTACAGGCCACTGGTGATTTAATAAGGTTTTGTAGGCACAAGAACACCCATATGCTTTGAAAAATAACCGTTACAAAATATTTGAATTTTGCGCATCTTGTCGAGTCTTTGATCACACACTTTTAATAGTAGGCGATCACTGTACATACAGTGTTATACCACCCACTGGTAGTTTTGAGTCCATTTTGATTGTATTTGTCAGATTAAACCATATTAAATGTTCTTGATGACAAGGAGTTTATGCTATTTTTACTTATTTATTATTTATTCAAAAGAAATCTTTAAATACAAGAAAACATTTTGAAAAATGAGCCCTTCATAATCCCAAATAATTTATAAACAGTAATGTAGTGTGATGCTCAAACCACTCATGGATATTGATATCTGCACTCGTGCAGATATCATATTCATTCGTGGATAAAAATCATATCACTCATAAATCATAGGATATTCTCTATTTATTCCATAATAACATGTTTTCCACGGGAAAATAACAGGGGAAATCCTGTATCAGATCCCATATCAGCCAAATTCCCGTATCAGATCCCATATTGGATCCCGTATCAGCCAAAATCCACTGATCCACTTGGGCTGTCGCCCTCGGTCAATATGATAATTTCCTTGGTCAATATGATATTTCCCCTCAAAATAAAATTCATATTCCATCACGACCATTAAATAACCTCTATGTTTTTACTGGGAAATAAACAGGGAATAGAACTGATATTCAAAAGATCCCATATGAGCTAGATTCCTATATCAGATCCTGTATCAGCCTAAATCACATATCAGATCCTGTATCAGAACCATTCCCTGGGATTTCTCTTGATTTTTATGTTTCAAAAAATGGAATAAATAGGTTATTGATGGAATATGAATTTTATTTATTTTATTCGCCTCGAGAACTATCATATTAGCACTCGGGCTATTGCCCTCAGTCAATATGATATTTTCCTTGGCCAATATCATATTTTCCCTCAGAATAAAATTCAGATTGCATCCCTCCCATTAAATTACCTATATATATCACACAAATACATCTTTAAATGCTACTTGGAGAAGTATTAGTACTCATTATAGAATTTCTGATCTAATTGTGCAACCTTCACCTTCTCATATTTCTAAGAGGTAGGGGTCAACAAAGCCATATTAAAAATACAGAATAGTACTTAATCATAACATTCCTTAATCCTTATATTACAATGCCACACATAACTTGGAAATGATTTATGAATACTATTTGGAGCACTATTACTGCCTATTATTTCTCTGAGGCTGCAAAATAAGATTGGTGAAAGTAAAAAATGAACGAAAATATTTTAGGATACACTTGACCATTGTACTAGTGACATATTATGAAGGAATCAGTACTATACCAACTATTTAATTGATGTTATAGAATGATAATCTAATACCCCCCTCAAATATTATTCTCGGGGGGTAAAAAGGCTCGGAATCCTTCGTCCACAAACTAATACGACCCAGACATATGTGAATTGATGCTTCATAAAGTAATCTTTCAGAAAAATTATGTCTAACAAGCGGCCTTCTGACTTCCCAAAATGCTTGCTGTAGACTGGCCTAATACTATATAGATAGCTATATTTCCACTTATTGATTTAAATACCTGTAAAGCCTGAAGTTCACCACGAAGACGTTTATTTTCCATTTCCAATTTCTGCTCTTTCTTCTGCATATTCTGTATTTCACTCTCCTTATTCATTCTGTACATATCAAAGTCTTTGCGTATCTTCTCTGCCTCTGGGTTCTCCAAGTCCACAGACAGGGCTGAACGCAAACTTCCACCTTTCGGCTTACGACCAAATGATCCGACAGAACGCAATCCAAGTTTTCCTGTATAAAAATTTAAAGTGATGGTATTTCAGTATTAAAAATTGAAGCAACATTTTTTTGACAAAACAAATACAAAAATAGTCTATTTAATTATCATATTTTTTAACCTAAATTGGAACTAAGCAAGTACAATGTTAATATTAAAATAAAAAGTAATAAATCAATGCTGACATTTCAAGTTAGTAAATCTAAACTCTGATTACTTTTACACCTCTAGTAAACCCATTTACTGGTTTAAGACAGCGGTGCTGAAAACTGATTGCATTTGAAAAAACAAATAATTTAATTTGAAAATATATATTTAATTGTATTTGTGAAAATTTCCCGGGTCATCAAATTATTATATAAAGGGCTGCCAATAGATCTATTTGATGGTTCTATCTATTAGATGATCTATTGTCATGGTACCATTTTACAATATTACCTTAAAATCATATACAGAGTGGTCCAAACAACTCAGCCCTTGAAACAAGCTATTTCTCGGTTATTACTTGCATTTTATAATAGGCTGATATTCAGTGGGTTTTACTGTTCTTACATGTTTTAAAGAAAGGTCTCAAGTTTTTTGGTACCACAAAGGTCACTTAGTTTGAATTCTTGCAGAAGTTACATCACCCCGAGTGATCAATATCCTGAGTTAAGAATTCCATTCCAGCAAGTGAGTGTCCCAAATTGCGTTTTTGCTGATTCCCGATAAATATGGCGGCTAGATTGACAGCTGACGCGCCAGGTGTAGAAAAAACATTACTATCTGTAGAAAGTATAAGGTAAGAATGAATATAGAGTGGCGCATTCGGTGCCGAAATATGTTTGCAACATGTTCATAAAAGTTCACTCAATCATATGTGTTTGTTATTAATGCAAATGGAAGTATAGAACCAACGTGACCTCATTTTCAAAGATCAGTGAGAAGTTTTCATCTATTGTTTTTTTACCTTCTTTTAAGAAGTAAAAGATACCCTAGCCATGGTATAACCGTATAGTAGACATAAATACTATGTGTCAATTCATGGTACATGTGAGTCCAAGCCAATTGTTTGCATAAGCGATAGAAGTCCTGGAAAGATATATTCCATGGTACAGAGGAGGAATCTCCGAAGTCCCAAATAAGCATGCTTATTGTGTAACATTGAGAACATTCATGCAGTACATTTAGTGGTCCATTGGATCCTACCTTGGTAATACATGATGACCCTCTTACCGAGTGTGCATGCTCCAGTTCACTTCTTGAGACGAGGAGGATTGTCTCCCAGATATTCTATCCCATATATGGTATGGTGACCTCTTACCGTTTCTGGAACCTGTCACGCAAAAATAAGATTAAAGGTCACCATACCATATATATGGGACATTAACACTTGATTGAAAATAGCTTGTCGTCGGAGCAAGGATCGATCATAAAGAAAAAATTTATGGAAAAGATTCATGGCTCTGTCATTCTGGAAATACTACAAGGTGGGCCAAAAAATGTCCACATTTTTATTTTTCTTATATCTTTGCTGATATGTTGAAAATAAATCATATATTATTGGAAAGGTAATTCACTTTCCAACAAAATGATGTATGATTCATAAAATATGAATAGCTATTGGTAACTCCATGGTATTTTCCATATCATGAGTTAGTAACAGTCGAAAACAAGATTTTTCTATATGCTTTGAGCTTATTGCATAATATCGCATTCCTTAAAGGTTGTATATAACTATTAAAGTGATTTTCACACGTTTCAAAGCATGTTGCTATGTATATATAACACTGATTTTTACTTACGTATTTGGAGTGGATTTTCATCTTTCATTCCATATAAAGAAAACAGAAATTGATAAAATATTGACGGGGTGGCAGCTGTTACAATGACCCCTACTTTTAGCAATTTTCAGAACTTTTCGTCCAGTGTATTTAATGAGGGGCCCCATCTTAATTCAATGGGAGCAAGGACTCATATAGATGGCAGTTAACTACTAGGTTGTTGTTCACATCTGGCCTATTGGTTTGTGTGCAAATATTGCTGTTTTAAACTTCAAATTCACTACATTTATCAAATAAATATCAAATTTTCCTTCATTATTATTTACAAACATGTTTTAAGATTCAAAATCATAAGGTTTTGGACATTTTCGATAAAATTCACTGAATTTTATGCCATCTATTGACAGTCCTGACAATTCCCATTTTCGGGCTTATTTCTTGAAAGCATTATACACTATTATTATCATATTTTTGTATTAATATGAATAATTGATTGCAATATGATAGAACACTTATCCACTAACAGTTTGGAGGTTTCTCCAAATCTATCATTGTTAGGGAAATGATGTCACACTACATTGGTTTTTCACAAGAGTGGGCTATGACTATTACGTCATCAATATGCGTTAGATGGTATGGAGACATTCATTGTGACATTTGTTTTGGGAATTCCTAACAACGGCCAAATACTTTCACTTTCGTTATTAGAGCATAACATAACATAGACGGTGAACACCGCCTCTAATGCAAGTCCATACAACAATTCAACGCATTAGAGGTGTTTATCCTTGTAAATTCATGCCAATCTAAGTTTTTCTTCATCATTTTTGACGGTTCACTTTATTTTAATCTTCTGCTTAGAATCTCTGCGTCATTTATAGAGAAATATAAACAAAATGGATACATTGATGATTTATACAAAAACTTACCATACCTTTGTGGTTGTAGAAGGTTGAATTGTGCTAATTTTGTAGCAAAATCGCCGATTGTCGCTACTGTTCACAAAATCTTTATGGCGGCTTCTATTCTCACGAGATTTGACGAGAGTAGCCATTGAATATTGCTGCCATCTATTTAACTATACAGAGTTTATATCATTCATTCGACCATCATGTATTCGACAGAAGAAATCAATGATCTGTATTCGCATAACATAAAACCAAAGTTTGGATTTGATTTGAAGCCAGAACAGTTACAAGTGATAACAAACATATTGAATCAAGAATCCACTATAGCAGTTTTACTAACTGGTTATGGGAAAACATTACGTCACGTGATCATCAAATTACGTCACGCGATCATCACACTGATTTATGCAACGCATGCGCACTTGGAATTAGGTCAGCGAAAATGTCAAAAAGACCGGTCTTCGCCTTATCTGCAACAATTACACATAATTACTGTTATAAAGCGAGGCATTTATGGGTTCATTTTGAAGATTTTTGGTCTCGTTATCCAGTGATGAAAGAATGTTCAAGATTGAGGTAAGATCTTTGGAGAAAAGTCAAAAACATCAGATCCTTTTAAAAATTGTTCATTTTACATGTTTAGAATAGCACTGTATTATTGCCATTGGTGATAAAACTTTTTGATTATTTAGATTAAATGAAAACATTGGGATTATACATGATGTTGTATTATATGTTATGTTTTTAGTTTTAAAAGCATTATTGAAAGACGACGCAATGAGCAGCTGACATGGTACAGTGACATTAAGAGGAGCTGACATGATATGAAAAAATACTAAATGTATTTTTTAAATTCCGGAGAAGCATTTTATTTGCATAGATACATACATATATCTCACTTTTGTAAATACATTGTACATGTACATATGTATATAAATGACTGTGAATACATAAACTTTGCTTCGCAAATAAACTTTTCAACAATATTTAATGAGTTTATTTTTTATTTACTACTGTAAAATCATATTGATTGTTAGTATTTTCGTCTTATATTAGCCTATAAATTATTACTGATACATTACAGAGAAATACTACAAAGACCTATACCAATTTACAAAGACCAATTATATACTCAAATGATATTACTTTAATATTTATTATTACAGTAATGCAATGGGTATTGTAATATTTCTGTTATTCTATTAGTCCCACATTTATCCTAGTAGCATAATGTTGACAGTTTGAGCTTTTGAGATGCACTCATTATTATTAACTATTCAAGGCTGGTCTTAGAATGGAAATCAAAAACTGACACAAAATTATTAGAACATTTTTTTATTAAACAAACGTTCATACAGGTCTGTCAACTGTCCCGCAATTTGCGTATTTGTCACGCATTTGCTGAAGAATTTGAAGTCACGCCAGTTATGTTTGCGTGACAGAAAATGTCACGCAAATACGCATTTTACCTGGTAATTGTCAAGCAAAAATATTTCTGTAGACAAATTTCTAAAAACGATTGTCTACACAGCAAAACTACGAACGGCGGGAAAAAATGTACGCATTTCGTTCGGACTTTTCACGCGAATTACGTATATGTCACGCATTCCGTTCGAAATTTTTCGTACCTCCCCCCCCCCCCCCCCCCCCCCCCCCCCCCCCCCCCGTTGACGGATATTTGAAACGCGAGCGTAGCGAGCGCGAAAAATTTGAGGTGTTCAAAATTTGGCAAGATGTAATAAAATTTAAACCAAGGTGTTCAAAATTTGGATCAAGGTGTCCAGATTTGGACCAAGGTGTCCACATTTTGAGGGGAGGTGTTCAACATTTCCAAGTCACTCATGTTAGGTGTTCCCAAGTTGACAGGCCTGGTTCATATCACATGGCAAACAAATTTGTGAATGCTGAAATATATAGGGGTTGAGTTTTACTGGGGTTGAGTTTTACAGGGTTGAGTTGACTGGGGGTTGAGATTTACTGGGGTTGAGTTTTACAGGGTTTGAGTTGACTTGGGGTTGAGTTTTAATGGGGTTGAGTTAAACTGGGTTGAGTTGACTTGGGGTTGAGATGACCAGGAAGCCTTAAGTCAAGTGACTTCGTTTTGAACTTTGTGAATTTTTGCCTGGAATTTTATAACTTCACTTTCTATCAAGTTTATAGGATTAGGCATCAGATCTCACTCACTTGCTGGAACCCGGCAATTGGATGATGTGCTCAATCAATGCTAAACCGTTCTGGATAACTGCTGCTAAGCAAATGTTGAAGTTGTTCACTGCTCATTCCAGCATATCTAGGGGTGTTTTGTAATTCTAAAGCATTTTTCTTTATTTTAAGGAAAGAAAA